AGTTCATAAAGGGATAAGCAATTGGTACTGATGTAAGTAAATATTTAGTTTTTAATTTCACACCCTTTCTCCAATGTCGCCGTGGCAGAAGACTACATTCGCTAGCCTTCAGTGCGGACTTCGTGGGTACGAATCACGCTGGCGACAAACGTTTTTCATGATATTGTTCTATCATGAAGACAAATGATAAGGGGAAAAAGAAGTTCCGTCATTGTCAACAGGTGTTTAAATAACAATTCAGTTAGTTGGACCACGGTCAAAGACAAAGGAGCCATGGTTTAAACACGCAAAACATCCCCGACGACCACTTAACCTTCATAATTAACTCGTTTACAGACGTATGCATGAGCATTTGTAATTGTTACGAGTGAGTTCGATCCCTGGGCGCATTCATCAAAAATCACAGATAATGATTTGAAAATATGCAGTAAATAAGCGCGACAAAGCTAGAAGTTGATGAAATGATGCGTTGTTGCCTTTTGGTAAAAGTAAAAAAATAAATAGTGAAAACGCGACAATGCGACAAATAGTAAAAATGTCGCATTGTCACCTATTTACAACTTTGACATTTTTTCACATATGAATCGGACTAAAGGAATAAGTAAATTTGTTTTATGATATTTCATCTTTTGCAGTGGTGTGACTCTTTGATCTCCTGCAGTTAATAAGCATCGACAAGGATCATTGACAAAACACCATGGAACCATCCGAACACATTCACTTTGCTTACTGCACTTTGGGGGCGGTCGGGTATCCAGGTGGTTAAAGCGTTCGCTCGTCACGCCGAAGACCCGGGTTCGATTCCCGACATTGGTACATTGGGCGAAGCCCATTTCTGGTGTTCCCCGCCTTGATATTGCTGCGATATTGCTAAAAGCGGCGTAAAACCATACTCACTCACTTACTATTGCACTATTGGTGTTCCGGAGGAGAATATGTAGCAGGGCGTGGAGTCATCCCATAGATGACATCCTTAACTTGTCAACTTGCTGACGGGGTTAACCTCTTTGGTCGTGTGGACAAGGCGTCCGACCTCTGATCAGAAGGCCCACGGTTCAAATCCCATCACGGGACTCGGAAATTTTATGGCCGCTACAAATATATTATGGCTACATATGTGCTAATACTGAAGTTAAAACAAGCCATTCCGCCGTTGAGGCATATTACATTAAAACACACCTGTGACGTCATTCCATTGTTTGAACGCTCCATTACTTTTCAGGAATGGAAATCTGTTTGTCAACTATACATTATCTTGAACCAACATTCGAATTAATTTCCACTTGGAATAGACGAAACTATTTTTTTTACATTTATTGACAAGTAAATAATTTTAATTTCTTTCCGAAAACGTGTCGCCAACGGACTTCGAACCCGCATCGTTTGATTTGATAACGTGTAATTGTCAACCTCAGTTACGGCGGCACATGAAGGAATCGTGTGAAATGAACGATTAAATATTTCCATAATTTTGCATAATGCTTAAAAGCTCAAAATAATATGTATATAATATTGTGTTAGAGCAGGTTATCAACAACAATGTTCATATTTACAGCAATTAGATAAACCTTTGACGAGAAATACAAATCAGGTAATATATATATCCTTGTTCGGGGCTCTATATTTCCTTTTACTCCCGTCAGCTTACCCTCCACGTAATGACAAAAAATGCAAAAAAAAGTTAAACACAACAAACGTTTTGCAACCAAACTATAAGAGTCTTTGTTTATGTATCAGGGATTTACTCTGTATTGAACTAATCAATGTCAACCTGCCACTAAGTTGTCACATATATTGGTATTTGGTAACGAATGTGCATTACTTTGAATACACCTTTCACCATCTTCCCGAGGCAAGTGAGTTAACTGACTATAAAAGTCCAGTTTCCACCCTTGCCGAACTAGGCTGGTATTATGGAGTTACATTTTGGCTGGACCAACGAGTGAATGCAATCCAATCAAAATCGCGCACCAATCGAAATCCGTTTCGTAAAGTGGCATGCAGATTTCGGTCGACTGCCGGATTTGCAAAGCATGTGCACCGCTAACTCGTTGTCAATTATTTCTAAATCAGTTCATGTTTTTAATCAAGATGCTCTCGTGATTTGATGCACTTCGCGATGTAAGACTCGTTTTATCACAATATAGATCTTGATTATCGATCAGATCGTCTTGACTGGGCGCCACCGTTTTGTTTGAAGCAAATGTAAGTGGTACGAGAGGTTGAATCTGATTGGTCAATAGGAGAGGCATAGAAAGGACATAACTCGTAATAGCCACTGGTGGTGCTACGATCGAGCCCAGGAATTCCAGCCTAGTTCGGCAAGGGTGGAAACTAGAGTTTTTAAAGTCAGTTAACTCTCTTGCCACGGGAAGATGACCTTTCACCTGAAGAATTGCACATTATTATTTAGTCGCTATATGGCTGAAATAATACCGATGCGACGTTAAATTTGAACCCACTCATTATTATTTGCTTTCTTATTGCAAAAGGAAAGAAGGACAAGAGCGGCTTTAGTCATCTTCGGCGCTGCAATGCAGCCTGAAGAGTTGCGTCCCTTGGGCGTGCCAAAAACCTATGGGTTCGAATCTCGGATTGTCCGTGAGTGTTTGTACGTTTGTCAGCACCAAACCAGTGGTCTTATTATCCGTCGAGGACATGCACCACATCAAGCTGATCTATTTCACGTGATATAACTGAAATACTGTGCCAAATGGTGGAAAACACAACTCACTCACTCAAAGGAAAGGGGGCGCGGTTGCAGAGTTGCGTCCCTTGGGCACGCCAGAAACCTATGATTGTGGGTTCGAAACCCAGTTCACCCCGATTATGTTTCTAGGTTTGTCAGCACCACATCCGTGCTCGTGGGTTTCACCGAAGTGGTAAACGTCTGAGACCTGCATCACTTCGGGCTTTCCTCCCACATTAAGCTGACGCGCCGTGATATAATTGGAATACTGTTAAAAGCGGCGTTAAACCCAACTCACTCACTCACTCACCAAAAGGAAAGGGTCACATTCTTTAGATACATGTGGAAGAGGGCTGTGTTCCCCACAGCGTCTGAGATAACCGTCATACTTCATCATAGACTTAAGGTAGTCATAGCGTCACACCAGCTTATGTACCCGTGAAGATCCGGGGTAGAATAGGTCTCCAGCAACCCATGCTTGCCATAAAAGGCGACTATGCTTGTGATAAGAGGCGGCAAACGGGATCGGGTGGTCAGGCTCGCTGACTTGGTTGATGCATGTCATCGATCTCAATTGTGTGGATCGATGCTTATGATGTCAATCACTGGATTGTCTGGTCCTGGCCCAGACTCGATTATTTTACAGACCGCCGTCATATAGCTGGAATATTCCTGAGTGCGGCGTTAAACGACAAACAAACAATCAAACAAACAAACACCCGCACATGCTTGTTATTCTATTACAATGTTAAGGAAATAGAGAGGGATGCAGTTACCCATGTGATGTTCGCATGCTACCGGCCCACTCTGATCAAAGTGTTCGGTTTGTTCTGTTTGTATTGGATGCATGATTGATGATATTAGTGTCCGTGACCAGTTTCATTTCATTTCACTTTTTACCCATCATTTACAGATACTGTGCATTCTCTCTTAACTTCACTGACACACTTTTTTCGCTCAGCGGTTTTTCCAGTCACATCTCCGTTGGTTGTAGTTGTAGTTAACGTCCTTGCAGTCACCACTTTCACATTCGGCCAACATGAATTCAACAACGCGTGGTCATGAGGATAATGTTTGAAAAAAACGTGAACCATGAACAATGTCGCGTTGTCGCGCTTTGGTAAAATAAATAAGATGATTCAAAGCGCGACAATGCGACAACCCGACAATGTGACAAATGGCAAAAAAGTCGCGTTGTCGCGCTTTGGTTAATTTTGATACTTTTTGCTTGGTTTTGGAAGGGCGACAATGCGACAATGTTCCTTCTGGTATACTATTGTTTCGAGCATCCTTCTGTAGCGACTGCAGCTATTGTGAAATAAAAATGCCACTAACGTACATACACCTGGAATGAAATTTAAACCACATTCGATATGTTTCATATAAAATAGCCATTTAAAATAATCGTATGCTGAAGTAATTTTCGGACGAAATAAATTTGTTTTTGTTTACAAAATGATATACTCGTAATGAAATACGGAATCAAAATCGACAACATAATGCTTTGTAATATGCAATGGGAACAGTTATTTGACTGTCCTACTATTTTCGTCTTCTGCTTCTTGACTCATGGAGGCCCGTGAAGATTCCGGGGTAGAATAGGTCTTCAGCAACCCATGCTTGCCGTAAAAGGTGACTATGCTTGTCGTAAAAGGTGACTGACGGGATCGGGTGGTCAGGCTCGCTGACTTGGTTGATGCATGTCATCCATCGTGTCCCATACTGGTTGATGCATGTCATCGATCCCAATTGCGTGGATCGATGCTAATGATATTTATCACTGGATTGTCTGGTCCAGACTCGATTATTGACAGACCGCCATCATATAGCTGGAATATTGCTGAGTGCGGCGTTAAGCAACAAACCAACCAACCAACCAATCTTGACTCATGGTCTAGTGGTAGAGCGTCTGCCTTGAGAAGCCGGAGGTCGGTTGTTCGATTCCCTGGCCGTGTCATACCAATATATGTTAAAATATGGTATTTGCTTATTACACTATTATTAAATGTACTTAAATAAGGACTGGTTGCCCCGGAGCCTGTATATTGCGTCTGAGTGTGGTTTTCATGGTATCTGCGGCATGATATACAAAAACAGCATTAGTCCGGACTAATACAAGCAGACCGCACGCACGCACGCACGCACGCACGCACGCACGCACGCAGGCAGGCAGACAGGCAGGCACGCACACACGCACGCACACACACACACACACACACACACACACACACACACAGATGCAATAATTTTGAAAGCGCCGTTAAACACATATTTCACCTCACCTCTTCAGCACTTGAGCACTCAAATGAACTCATTTCATACAATCCAAAAGATACATGGACGTTTGGAATATGTGAAAATAAACCAGCTCTGATGACGACTTGTAGATGTGATGTCCACTTGTAGGTGTTGGCCGGGACTGGTAGATATGGGACTTGTAGGTGTTGGCCGGGACTGGTAGATATGGGACTTGTAGATGTTGGCCGGGACTGGTAGATATGGGACTTGTAGGTGTTGGCCGGGACTGGTAGATATGGGACTTGTAGATGTTGGCCGGGACTGGTAGATATGGGACTTGTAGGTGTTGGCCGGGACTGGTAGATATGGGACTTGTAGATGTTGGCCGGGACTGGTAGATATGGGACTTGTAGATGTTGGCCGGGACTGGTAGATATGGGACTTGTAGGTGTTGGCCGGGACTGGTAGATATGGGACTTGTAGGTGTTGGCCGGGACTGGTAGATATGGGACTTGTAGATGTTGGCCGGGACTGGTAGATATGGGACTTGTAGGTGTTGGCCGGGACTGGTAGATATGGGACTTGTAGATGTTGGCCGGGACTGGTAGATATGGGACTTGTAGATGTTGGCCGGGACTGGTAGATATGGGACTTGTAGGTGTTGGCCGGGACTGGTAGATATGGGACTTGTAGATGTTGGCCGGGACTGGTAGATATGGGACTTGTAGATGTTGGCCGGGACTGGTAGATATGGGACTTGTAGATGTTGGCCGGGACTGGTAGATATGGGACTTGTAGGTGTTGGCCGGGACTGGTAGATATGGGACTTGTAGGTGTTGGCCGGGACTGGTAGATATGGGACTTGTAGATGTTGGCCGGGACTGGTAGATATGGGACTTGTAGGTGTTGGCCGGGACTTGTTGATGTAGATCTTGCCACCATGAATACAAAAACACGTTGCGGTGAGGACGGTAAACATGGGTTGGTTTGTTTGTTGGTTGGTTGGTTATTTAACGCCGCACTCAGCAATATTCCAGCTATATGACGGCGGCCTGTAAATAATCGAGTGTGGACCAGACAATCCAGTGATTAATATCATGAGCATCGATCCACGCAATTGGGATACGATGACATGCATCAACAAAGTCAGCGAGCCTGACCACCCGATCCCGTTAGTCGCCTTTTACGACAAGCAAAGTCGCCTTTTACGGCAAGCATGGGCTGCCGAAGACCTGTTCTACCCCGGATCTTCACGGGTCAGGACGGTAAACAGTAAACTTGCTAAGGATGGTATTATTGCACTTGCCAAAATGGACTCCATCATGACCAATGGATGAAGATAGTGTTTTAATATACTCAACAAAGCAACTGATCATATAAATAAGCGGTAACTGGAAAAAAAGTGATAAACATTTCCTCAAGTTGTTATATCAGAAAACGTAGGAAGTATTAAACACGGGTCCACATACGCTGTTGTGATAACGTGTCACGTGTAATAAACGTCACAACACATGTACGCTTAGACGCCTGTATACTCCGGAACAGTCATATCCTTGACAGTCATCTGAGCAGTCTACTACATGAGAGACAGCTCTCCTCCCAGATCAGCTCTGATGCCAAATTGCAGAGATGAAGACGATTTGCAGATGTTGGCCGGGAAACAGTTTGGGTGCTATTTTCGTGTTCTGTCTGTTGCTGATGTCGGTAAGCGTAAACGTTTCACCATCCTTGCGTACATCTTTTTAAACTGCGTTTTAAAGTGTATTGTGTCAGGGTATGAAACAAACAAGCAAGCTGTAATATGCACCACATGGTGATGCAATGTGTGCTAGATGTCCGTGTGGCAGCCTATAGTCCGTCAACGATCATTTTGGCACCCGGTTATTCAAAATCATTTTTCATTAAACACACTATCACGCGACGAATGTTGGTTATTATTGAATAATAATAATTGACCTAACTAAAAACACCAGTGGTGTAACATTTCATGTCCCCCAAAATATTCTTTCTTCATTGTTATCATGTAATTTTGTGACCGGTGACATGATCGTGTAGTAGGGGTAAGAACACATGGTTTGAGTGAGTGAGTGAGTTGGGTTTAACGCCGCTTTTAACAGGGTTCCAGTTATATCACGGCGTGTCAGCTTAATGTCGGAGGAAAGCCCGAAGTGATGCAGGTCTCAGACGTTTACATCTTCGGTGAAACCCACGAGCACGGGTATGGTGCTGACAAACCTAGAAATATAATCGGGGCGAACCGGGATTCGCACCCACAATCATAGGTTTCTGGCTTGCCCAAGGGACGCGACTCTGCACAGCGAATCGCGGCGCCTTACACGACTGGGCCCCCCGTACCTCCTGATAAGCCTTCAAAACCTGCAGATAACGAACCAAAGCGCGCCACCAAAAACCTAAGAAGGAAAAGGCGGAAAGTTTTGACAGGCGGGGATCGGTAGCCGTCATTCCATCTATGACACGATGACACAGACATTGACGATTGCGCACTTGATTTAATGTCCTGACTTTCAGCTTTTGGGAATGTTTTTAATCAAAAATTCTGATACATTAAGTTTTCATATATACTAAGCTAGTTTTCATGATATTTTATTTCATGACTCATTTTAATTTATTTAAATGTCTTCCCTCAGAAATTCCCCATAAGCGGGCTGGATATTAATATGACCTAGGGTCATGCAAGGAGCAAGCACACTATGTCATTGCTGTGTTTATTGGGACAAGAAATTTGTTGTTAGGTCAATGATTATTTATCGATAAAAACCAACTTTCGTAACGTGATTGTGAGTGAGTTAATATTTAACGTCACATCGGCAATATTGCAGCCATATCGTGACGAGACAAAATTTGACTTTAATAATATAACGTAATTGTGTGTTTAATGGAACATAACTGTGAAAATCCGGGTGCCAAAATGATGGTAATGGACAATAGTGGTTAACACGTGCGCTCGTTACCGAAGGCCCTGGTTCCATTCCCCACATGGGTACAACGTGTGAAGCCTATTTCTGTTTTCCCCTGCTGTGATATTGCTGGCAAAGTGGCGTAAAACCATACTCACTCACTCACATGTAAACAATGTAAGTTCTTGACGACCCGTGAAGTTCCGGGCTAGAATAGGTCTCCGGCAACCCATGCTTGCCGTAAAAGGCGACTAACGGGATCGGGTGGTCAGACTCGCTGACTTGGTTGATGCATGTCATCGTATCCCAACTGCGTGGATCGATGCTCATGATGTCAATCACTGGATTGTCTGGTCCAGACTTGATTATTTACAGACCGCCGTCATATAGCTGGGTTAAGCAACAAACCAACCAACCGTTTTGCCATTATGCTGAAACTATCTTAATTTGTTTTCAAACATTTGTTAAACGTTTTATGCAAAATGAAAATAAATACTCAAGAGTTCTGATGAAGACACAAATAGTCGACACCCATAGGCACAAAAACAATAATGGCGCTTTTTTAAGTTTACGTGGAAGCATGTATAATGAGCTTCAATACCAGAAAACTAATTAAATAAATCAAGCAGCGGGTGATATTGCCTGCCTTGGTTGAGTGACGTTAATATTAACATATCGTTTAAATGTTATCTATCCTTCTTCTCGAGACCACAAAGACACATTTTTTAAACTTTTCAGTAATATTATGAAGGAAATGAATGAAACACTGTGTTTATTATCATTTTGATATCATGTTTAGAAATCCTGAGATTAAATGCATCGATGGTATAAGATAGAGAGAGGATGTGGCTACTGACAACAAGCCCGAACAAGAACAGATTAATGAACACCGTCATTTGGATATAATAGAGACAAAACCTTTTCCATTATCCCAAGAAATCTCCATCCTGCCGCACCGATGGCACCCGTGGCACCCTAGAAGCCATCCTACATGCCATCCAGTCTTGTCATTGATGCATCCATGGAAGCCATCCTACATGCCATCCAGTCTTGTCATTGATGCATCCGTGGAAGCCATCCCACATGCCATCCAGTCTTGTCACTGATGCATCCTTGGAAGCCATCCTACATGCCATCCAGTCTTGTCATTGATGCATCCGTGGAAGCCATCCCACATGCCATCCAGTCTTGTCATTGATGCATCCATGGAAGCCATCCCACATGCCATCCAGTCTTGTCATTGATGTATCCGTGGAAGCCATCCTACATGCCATCCAGTCTTGTCATTGATGCATCCGTGGAAGCCATCCCACATGCCATCCAGTCTTGTCATTGATGCATCCTTGGAAGCCATCCTACATGCCATCCAGTCTTGTCATTGATGCGTCCTTGGAAGCCATCCCACATGCCATCCAGTCTTGTCATTGATGCATCCTTGGAAGCCATCCAACATGCCATCCAGTCTTGTCATTGATGCATCCTTGGAAGCCATCCAACATGCCATCCAGTCTTGTCATTGATGCATCCTTGGAAGCCATCCTACATGCCATCCAGTCTTGTCATTGATGCATCCTTGGAAGCCATCCCACATGCCATCCAGTCTTGTCATTGATGCATCCTTGGAAGCCATCCCACATGCCATCTAGTCTTGTCATTAATGCATCCGTGGAAGCCATCCCAGATGCCATCCAGTCTTGTCATTGATGCATCCTTGGAAGCCATCCCACATGCCATCCAGTCTTGTCATTGATGCATCCTTGGAAGCCATCCCACATGCCATCCAGTCTTGTAATTGATGCATCCTTGGAAGCCATCCAACATGCCATCCAGTCTTGTCATTGATGCATCCCTGGAAGCCATCCCACATGCCATCCAGTCTTGTCATTGATGCATCCGTGGAAGCCATCCCACATGCCATCCAGTCTTGTCATTGATGCATCATTGGAAGCCATCCCACATGCCATCCAGTCTTGTCATTGATGCATCCTTGGAAGCCATCCCACATGCTATCCAGTGTTGTCATTGATGCATCCGTGGAAGCCATCCCACATGCCATCCAGTCTTGTCACTGATGCATCCTTGGAAGCCATCCTACATGCCATCCAGTCTTGTCATTGATGCATCCGTGGAAGCCATCCTACATGCCATCCAGTCTTGTCATTGATGCATCCGTGGAAGCCATCCCACATGCCATCCAGTCTTGTCACTGATGCATCCTTGGAAGCCATCCTACATGCCATCCAGTCTTGTCATTGATGCATCCGTGGAAGCCATCCTACATGCCATCCAGTCTTGTCATTGATGCATCCATGGAAGCCATCCCACATGCCATCCAGTCTTGTCATTGATGTATCCTTGGAAGCCATCCTACATGCCATCCAGTCTTGTCATTGATGCATCCGTGGAAGCCATCCCACATGCCATCCAGTCTTGTCATTGATGCGTCCTTGGAAGCCATCCTACATGCCATCCAGTCTTGTCATTGATGCGTCCTTGGAAGCCATCCCACATGCCATCCAGTCTTGTCATTGATGCATCCGTGGAAGCCATCCCACATGCCATCCAGTCTTGTCATTGATGCATCCTTGGAAGCCATCCTACATGCCATCCAGTCTTGTCATTGATGCGTCCTTGGAAGCCATCCCACATGCCATCCAGTCTTGTCATTGATGCATCCTTGGAAGCCATCCAACATGCCATCCAGTCTTGTCATTGATGCATCCTTGGAAGCCATCCAACATGCCATCCAGTCTTGTCATTGATGCATCCGTGGAAGCCATCCTACATGCCATCCAGTCTTGTCATTGATGCATCCTTGGAAGCCATCCCACATGCCATCCAGTCTTGTCATTGATGCATCCTTGGAAGCCATCCCACATGCCATCTAGTCTTGTCATTAATGCATCCGTGGAAGCCATCCCAGATGCCATCCAGTCTTGTCATTGATGCATCCTTGGAAGCCATCCCACATGCCATCCAGTCTTGTCATTGATGCGTCATTGGAAGCCATCCCACATGCTATCCAGTGTTGTCATTGATGCATCCGTGGAAGCCATCCAACATGCCATCCAGTCTTGTCATTGATGCATCCTTGGAAGCCATCCAACATGCCATCCAGTCTTGTCATTGATGCATCCGTGGAAGCCATCCCACATGCCATCCAGTCTTGTCATTGTTGCATCCGTGGAAGCCATCCAACATGCCATCCAGTCTTGTCATTGATGCATCCGTGGAAGCCATCCCACATGCCATCCAGTCTTGTCATTGATGCATCCTTGGAAGCCATCCTACATGCCATCCAGTCTTGTCATTGATGCATCCGTGGAAGCCATCCCACATGCCATCCAGTCTCGTCATTGATGCATCCTTGGAAGCCATCCAACATGCCATCCAGTCTTGTCATTGATGCATCCGTGGAAGCCATCCCACATGCCATCCAGTCTCGTCATTGATGCATCCGTGGAAGCCATCCCACATGTCATCCAGTCTTGTCATTGATGCATCCTTGGAAGCCATCCCACATGCCATCCAGTCTTGTCATTGATGCATCCGTGGAAGCCATTCCACATGCCATCCAGTCTTGTCATTGATGCATCCTTGGAAGCCATCCCACATGCCATCCAGTCTTGTCATTGATGCATCCGTGGAAGCCATCCAACATGCCATCCAGTCTTGTCATTGATGCATCCGTGGAAGCCATCCAACATGCCATCCAGTCTTGTCATTGATGCATCCTTGGAAGCCATCCAACATGCCATCCAGTCTTGTCATTGATGCATCCGTGGAAGCCATCCTACATGCCACCCAGTCTTGTCATTGATGCATCCTTGGAAGCCATCCAACATGCCATCCAGTCTTGTCATTGATGCATCCGTGGAAGCCATCCTACATGCCATCCAGTCTTGTCATTGATGCATCCTTGGAAGCCATCCAACATGCCATCCAGTCTTGTCATTGATGCATCCGTGGAAGCCATCCTACATGCCATCCAGTCTTGTCATTGATGCATCCGTGGAAGCCATCCTACATGCCATCCAGTCTTGTCATTGATGCATCCGTGGAAGCCATCCCACATGCCATCCAGTCTTGTCATTGATGCATCCGTGGAAGCCATCCTACATGCCATCCAGTCTTGTATGGGATCGAGTAATTTCAGGTTACTTTTACAAGCTCCACCATAGATGATGGAGCCATAATCGAGCTTAGAACGGACAAGTGATCTGTATAAGTGAAGGAGGGCCGTTTGATCTCCTCCCCACTTGGAATTAGAAACAACCTTTAATAAGTCTAGTGTCTTCAGACATTTAGCTTTCAAATATTTGATATGTGGTAAAAAAGTTAGGTGATGATCGAAAATTATTCCTAAAAATGAAAATGAAATGAATGCAATTTGTTTTAGACTCAGAAAACTTGAATCTGTTCTGCTCTGCCCAAACATTGATTTTATTAAGACAAAGCTGCAGCTGTCTCTCAATCGTGTGCATATTTTTACCTCGACATGATACATTAAAATCATCAACGAACAAAGACCCGTCAATAGAGTCATTTAAAACCGTGGATAAACTATTTTTTTTTTATGCTAAACAACGATGCATCCATAGAAGCCATCCCACATGCCATACAACTTATGCGTGTGTCTAACAAGCAAATGAGCCATATTTAGCCGTTTATTCTGCGTTCAAAATAAGTTTATCTTTGATAGTTAATTGACCTTAATCTATCTTTTTGTATTAAATGTAATTAAAAGCAATTCACGAGACCCGTAACTCAGCAAATGAGTCAAAATTAATTACTTTATTAACGCCTGTTTGGAAATGCATCCAACCTTCGGTTTCACTCTCGCATGAGTAACTATCAATTGATGAATGTGGACATGTTCTGGCTATTAAAATATACAGGCGTTGAGGAAACCGAGACTAAAGCATTGAAAATACAGACAAAAAATAGGCACGTAAAAGAAATGTCGATAATTATTGTGATTTACCTAAGCTGTCAAGTTTAAAGTGACACTACCGTTAAAGCTAAATATACAGATTATAAATATTTACACATGTACATGACGGATGAATGTAAACAACATTTTGTCTTTCATACATGTGTGTGGGACGTTTGTGGTGTCAAACCCTGACGTATTATTGTAATTATCATAAACAAAAGCTGAACATAGGCGGATGTTTATTAACATTAAATATGAACATATGAACATAATCAGAAACATATTCGAACAAAAACTCGAATATGCATTTCCAAAGTGCGTCAGTAAGCCTTAAAAGGGCATTTATAGGTAAACTGGACGCCAATATGTTGATTACCATCAGTTCATGAGCAATATTAAATTTTCATTACAGTATTATTCATAATAATATGTTTGATACGTTTAATATGTGTACTTGGTCAATTTGCAATACAAATCCGTGATTTGAACGGTATTATCTTGTTGTAAAGCCTTCTAATAACCTAATTACTTATATACTTGAAAATTGTCCTTTCGGTAATGTTAGTTTAACAAACAATCAATTTAGAGCGAACTGCATTTGTTAGAGGGAAATAATTCCTGCATTAAGTTTCAGTAGACTACAGAAGCAACGAAGTTTCCGTTGACAGTTTCATACATTGACGGCCAAAAGCAACTTTACTATAGTTTTAAATCACTCCAGTTTTAAAAACACAAAGGATAGATTATAAATTTGGTTTGGTTTGTTGTTTAACGCCGCAGTCAGCAATGCTGTATGACGGCGGTCTGGAAATAATCGAGTCTGGACCAGACAATCCAGTGATTAATATCATGAGCATCGATCCACGCAATTGGGATCGATGACATGCATCAACCAAACATATACGAACAAAAAACTCGAATAAGCATGTTCAAAGTGCGTCAGTAAGCCTTTAAGGGTATTTAGTAGGTAAATTGGACCCCAATATATTGTTAAGCATCAGTTCATAAGCAATATTAAATTCTAATTACAATTTTATTCATAACAATATGTATGATATGTGTACATGGTCAATTCACAATACTGATCTGTGAAATGAACGGCGTTTTCCTGTGATTGCTCCATGAAGTTTCAGTAGACTACAGAGGCAACGAAGTTTCCGTTGACAGTTTCATACACTGACGGCCAAAAGAAACTGTACTATAGTTTTAAATCACTCTAGTTTTAAATCACTCTAGTTTTAAAAACACAAGGGGTAGAAGTAAAATGCATTGAAAAGATCAAAATCCCAACGAAATCAACATTAAAAATGACAGTCATACAGCATTCGGTATTGGCTTGACAGTTGCCCGAATTGAGGTGGGATAGCAAAAACAAGCTTTCAACGTAAAGGACGCTGTCAATAACTGTCCTCTGAAATGTCTTTAAGCCCTAATTCCTTGAGCCCTGAGTCGCCTGGCCACTGTCGCTGACGACGTCACTGTCAGAAAACACTGAAAGTTTCTATTGGCAGTCAGTTTAGACTCCATCGTAAAAGCATCATTTAAATCATACTTTTCATAACATTTGAGGTACAATCATACTTGTTCTTTCTACTAAGATTTCAAAGAGCGTCATAAGACTCCTTCCCAAAATTGTTTGATGAAGGTTAGAACATTCAAGGCCTCAGTAAAGCCTTCAAAACGTTTTATGGAAGACACGTGGAGGACATTTCCAAATTTAGCGCATCATTGATACAATTTCCTATTCTGACTTTGCATGGCGTTTATGTTATCCCTCGCTCGGTTTTACCTTTTCAACCAACTTAAAGCCACACATGCACGAGCAAATCCTGCAAGTTACCTTCACGCATGCATTTCCGCGAATACTTTGCCTTGAGATACATTCCCACGAGAATATGTACTTGCAGTGTCATTGAACGGATCTCTTAATGAATATGGGGCGGTCGGGTAGCCTAGTGGTTAAAGCGTTCGCTCGTCACGCCGAAGACCCGGGTTCGATTCCCGACATGGGTACAATGTGTGAAGCCCATTTCTGGTGTCCCCCGCCGTGATATTGCTGGAATATTGCTAAAAGCGGCGTAAAACCAAACTCACTCACTCACTCTTAATGAATGTTTGAAGTAGTGACCACCAAATATCGCGTCATGTAATTTACTTCTGCCTTTCAGCAGGTAAAGACTGATGGCAAGCTGGACATTCGGTTCATCAGTTATTGGTCAGACGGAAGGGTTCACAGTGGGTACTGTTGCGAAGAATGGTTTTCATCCACGTGCTATGATGCATGTGACCCGATCTTTTCCGTGTGCGTTGATGAGTAGGTATCTCACCATTGAGTGAGTGAGTGAGTGAGTGAGTTTGGTTTTACGCCGCTTTTAGCAATATTCCAGCAATATCACGGCGGGGGACACCAGAAATGGGCTTCACACATTGTACCCATGTCGGGAATCGAACCCGGGTCTTCGGCGTGACGAGCGAACGCTTTAACCACTAGGCTACCCGACCGCCCCTATCTCACCATTGACTCGGGGAAGGTATTTATGGAGTCCAAAGTCGTGGCAGGACTCTCTTGTCTCCTCTTAGACTATACATTGATGATAAGGCAATTATTAGAATCTTTGGCGATGATATATGTTATACAGGGGATTGGTTGATTTATCATATGCAACATGGTTTCGAAAAGGAAGGGTGTTGTTTCAGACAGATCAGTTCATGCATTATTTAAAAGTGTAACCCAAGGGTTAGAATAGGTCCCCAGCAACCTATGCTGGTTGTGAGAGGCGAAAAGATGGATCTGTGGTCAGGCTCGGCCGCTTGGTTGTTAGCGTGTCATCGTACCCTGAAGGCGTGGATCGATACTCACAGTAGCAATCACCGTATCGTTTGACCCATATTTGATTATTTAGAGGCCTCCCCAAAGAGCTTGGATACATTCGTCACCACTCGCCCCTTTCCGTAACCTGCAAGAAGACTCGTCCCCCTATCGATGAATGTTATGTGCGAAAATACGACAAACCAATCAGAATGCGCGCATGATTTCAAGTTCTTCGTCAAAGAATCCCTCAGAAATAATTTTTGATTTTACATATGTCTTGCATCTAAAATTATACCCAAGACACATTGAAATGTGTTCAATCATACCGTATAATTCCGAACTTCCTGATGTGCTTTAAATTGCATCTGAAATATATATGATATGTGGGGAACTATATGTGAACCATTACGCAACGAGTTGACAATTGTTTTGGGTATGCCCGTTTGCGCAAAGACGGATCCCGGTCGCAAAAATGGCCACGAGAGGGGCACGAGTCGCTATTCGGCTTGTCCCGGAATAACACGAGTTGTTCACGAATGAGCTTGGATACTGCTGAGTGTGACGTTAAACACAAAAACAAACGAGGAAATCGTTTGAACATGTTGTGTAATCCTAACCATACAAATATGAATTTACCAACAAAGCAATACACATTATAGCTTATGCTTTTGTCAGTACAATGGTGAGAGTCCGTATCGAGATATAACTTTTGTGTTAAAAGCGAAACAATGTATATTTAAATCGATCGCTGGGACTCATATGATCAGTGCAACCTGCCTTATATTATTTCCCTGTGTTTAAAAATGTATGATATTGAACAATAAGCCTTAATAATCTCTGGGGTATTTTTTGAAAAACATGTCCTGAAAAGTTGGGTTTAACGCAGCTTTAACAGAATTCCAGTTATATCAGAGCGTGCCAGCTTAATGTGGGAGGAAAGCCCGGAGTGATGCAGGTCTCAGACGTTTACCACTTCGCCGAACCCAACGAGCTGTGTGCTGACAACCCAAGAAACATAATCGGGGTGAACCGGGATTCGAACCCACAATCATAGGTTTCTTGTCCTGATAAGAATTTCAGAGTAAACAATTTCGTGTTTTGAAGTAGTGACCGAAAACCATTCCATCTACTTGTCGTTTGTACATATAGCTACAAATCACGCTTAACAGTAAATATTGTTACAATAATATTCTGGAGTAACACCGGCGACAAGCGCCGTTTAGGAAAACATTAAATAATTGACATTTAAAATAAATAAATAAATGCAGTGACAATAGATAAGGCGTAATGTCAGAAGAGTGACAGTATTATGTTCTAAAATCATTTACAAAGAGACACATGTAAACATTAATTTTGCATATGAAAGCCTCGACTGTTCGAGGGTTTAACAATGCTCATGAAAAACCTTCGACCTTCACCATGTTAACGCTGACGTTGTATAGCTTGGGTTGGGTTACTCACTCAGTTTAGTTTTAAAAGTGTTTGAACTCTTAGAATCAGATCATATGTTTAACTATCATTATTTTGAATGAAACCACTAATATATAGATTTAACTTATTTCGATTCAAATATTACATCTTAACTCCTGTTCTGTTTCAGTCCTCGGGATGGGAAACCACGTGCTCTATATAGGGGGATAACGGCAGGGATGCACACTGGAAGCAATGATGTTGTTTTTGGCAGCAGCATTCAAGGGACACCGAACCCTTTCATTATACAAGTGCACAAGGCTATGCCGGTGTGGGAAATATTGTCATATCTTTCTATTTTCAAACATAATCATTCCGTAGATAAAACAATGATGTAAGATCAATTTCTTTCAGATTTTTGTTGAAGGACGAATTTACATTTCTATTAAGCAACATGGTCAGTCTTTTACGACACCAAATCCTTCCTTTTGATAGATCATAGATTTCTTTCCAACAATATATATATATCCACAGTCTGTGATAACGGTAAAGGTGGTGGTGGCTGATGATGATCTCCAAAGTGAAGATGATTACATGGATACTCTGACAACGTCCGCCAACATCTCTGCGAGTGCCAATAGGTTGAAATCTTCATATGCACCTTATCAACTGCACGGTAGAACCAGGCAGGTCGATTTCATTGTTATGCCATCATCACCATCATCTTCTGAAGTAATGAACTAAGCATCAAGAGACTGCTGTTATCAACCACAAACAGATTTCAGCCATAACTATGCAATGCATATGAACCGACATTCTGCGAATTAGCAAGCCGAGAGGAGAATAGACTAGTATATCAATTAAGTAAACATGAAAATAACAAAGGTCAAATTTGCGAACATCTGGCGAGGTGAGGTGAAATTGGGTTTAACGTCGCGTCCAAGATTATTGCACTTATATAGCGACGTGCGAACATCTGGTGTCATCACTAGTTTTCAATGATCCATTCATATACTTTTCACCTCTATTTTAACTTTTACGTCCAATGGAATCCGTTTCGACGGATATTCATGACTGGTTATTACCTGGGGCGTTGACCTCTTATAGTTTGTAGTTGAATCATCATAATTATCATGCGCTTATGATGATATTCGGGGACTTCAGACCACCAGCAGAAACATCGACCTTTGGGCATTACGTAGCATCCTGACAAAATTGTATGAATTCTTTTCTTCAGTTTAAAAATTGAGGTCCGTGCCTACTGTGATCCTTACTGGTACGGTTCTGCTTGTGAGACACACTGCAGAAATACCATCAATGACCACTACATGTGCAACTTCACCAACGGGGACAGAATGTGCCTGGAAGGTATACTCATGAATTGTTGTGTTCATGTTTTGTATCTTTGTTGACATCAAGTTGAGTGAAACCTTTCAAATACGAGAACGACCGCCTCCGTGGTCTAGTGGTAGAGCGTCCGCCCGGAGAGCGGAAGGTCCGGGGTTCAATCCCCGGCCGCGTCATACCAAAAGACGTTAAAAGATGGTACTTGTTGTTACCCTGTCTGGCGCTCGGCATTAAGGGGTTAAAGCAAGGACTGGTCGGCTCGGAGTCAGTATACTGTGTCTGAGTGGGGTATTAATGTTAAACTGCGGCATGGTATCTCAGTGGGCTAGCACTATAAATCGGTATCAGTCCGTTCTAGTACAAGCAGCCACACAAACACACACACACACATACACACACACACACACACACACACACACACACACGTGCATGCACGTCGCTATATAAGTGCAATAATCTTGGACGCGACGTTAAACCCAATTTCACCTCACCTCACCTCACCTCACCTCAAATACGAGAACCAAGAATTGTTCCCTAATGTGATGTTATTTACTGCATTTACACACCCGTCTTTAAAAACTAGATACAGAATGTCGTATTTATTACAGGGTGGAAGGGGGGTAACTGTGATGAGGACATCGACGAATGCAGTCAAACAGCCGACCTGTGTCAACATGGTGGCAACTGCACAAACACACCAGGAAGCTTTGAATGCCGATGTATGGAGGGATTCACCGGTGAGCAGACAAGTACTTGCATTAATGTTTCCTCTCTGTTATTTATGGCTGCAACGCTTCCTAGTCCCATGTTATGTTGTAGACAAAGGAATGGTTGATGAAGGTGAGGTGAGGTGAAATTGGGTTTAACGTCGCGTCAAAGATTATTGCACTTATATAGCGACGTCCATGTACGCGCGCGCGCGCGCGTGTGTGTGTGTGTGTGTGTGTGTGTGTGTGTGTGTGTGTGTCTGGCTGCTTGTACTAGTCCGGACTGATGCCGATTTATAGTGCTTGCTCACTGAGATACCATGCCGCAGTTTAACATGAATACCCCACTCAGACATAGTAAACTGACTCCGAGCCGACCAGTCCTTGTTTTAGCCCCTTAATGCCGAGCGCCAGACAGGGTAACAACAAGTACCATCTTTTAACGTCTTTTAGTATGACGCGGTCGGGGATCGAACCCCGGACCTTCCGCTCTCCGGGCGGACGCTCTACCACTAGATCAGAGCATTACCGGACAATGCAACATGGACTTTGGTTTTATGCAATGTCGGCCACTCCACTGAAGTTGATTGTTATGTTTTTTGAGCACCACTAGTCTTATGAAACTATGAAACAGTTACATCTGTTTTCAGGAAGGTATTGTGAACTCGTAACCAACCACTGTGCCCTGAATAAGTGTCTGAACGGCGGCACCTGTAATGGAAACGAAACACACTTTAGTTGCACATGCCCTCTCCGATGGTCTGGAGAGACATGCGCAGAGGAGATAAACCTATGTGACAGCACCCCCTGTGACAGAGGAAACTGCACGTCCAAACCCGAGACTTCAGCACGGTTCAAATGTGACTGTGAGTTTCCGTGGACTGGGGAAACTTGTGATCAGATTGTTGGTTGGTTCCTTTCAGTGTTTGTTATTGTCCTCGTAAATTCTGATAGATAATGTAATGTTAAGCTTTTTTTTAATTGAAGATTAATGTCATGGTTAGATTTCCTTTTGTTTCCCTGAAATCCCCAAATATCATAATGATATTAAGGAGATTATTCTTTTATGATACAAATGCCGTATATTTCGACAAACCTTATTTTCCAGCACCCCAAACTCCACAACGATTTCATCTAAAAAATAGTCATTCCTCTTGAGCAATTAACATCAAATGTTTTGAACATGTGTTTCATATCATTTAAGATATTACTAACATCACCCTCCGTGGAGTGATTGATCGTAACAACAGAGACAATCTGACTAGGGGCTTGACGATAGTCATCAACAATCTGGGAAAAATCCAGGGTCGGGTGAATGTCGTGGCCTCAACCAGCATCTGCGGGAGAAGCATGTATGCTCTACCAAAGCTACTTCACATTGTTCCATAATGACGTCTTAACATCTGAATAACGTCATATTGTATTATGTGTAACAGTGGTTCACAACACCCAAATACGCAAGGCTTCAATGCATGACAGACATCAAACAACATTTTATACGCAAGGCTTCAATGCATGACAGACATCAAACAACATTTTATACGCAAGGCTTCAATGCATGACAGACATCAAACAACATTTTATACGCAAGGCTTCAATGCATGACAGACATCAAACAACATTTTATACGCAAGGCTTCAATGCATGACAGACATCAAACAACATTTTATACGCAAGGCTTCAATGCATGACAGACATCAAACAACATTTTATAAACATTTTTCAAGGCTGAAGAGAAATTGGACATTGCTTTACGTATGACCTACAACAACAGTTGTTCTCTCTTTCATGTATGACACAAAGTAAACTGATGTTTATTGATACAAGTCTTATTGTACTTTCAGATCTAGTGATATAGTCACGAACGTACAGTTCTATGTGACCATGGGAAATGGAACCTTCCTAACCAGTGATTTTGTAAGAGAGATCTTCTCATCAAACAGTGATGCTGACATCAACCAACGCCTCCCCCTCCCACTCTACCCAGCCAGAGATGCAGATGAACTGGAGACTGATATTACCAACCAAAAAAACATAACATGGGTTTGTTTAATTATAAATTTTCAATGTGATCAACATTAAAACTGTTGTCATGCTTTTACACAAACGTTATACATGTAATCACGTTTTTGTTAGTTCAGGTTAAAATCATTCTAATCAGGTAACGATTTTTCCCGATTTGTTATTATAAATGCATATTAAACAAATTGATGAAATATATTCCTTCATGCATACTCTTGCTTCAGTTTCGTCAGTCCAACAAATTGGATTCAAATAAACAAATCAGTTACTTTAATTAGTGTGTGGATATATAACATGTATGTAATATCACTCTGACGTTCACGTCTGTTACAACAGGGAATCTGGTTCAGGAGCAGCTGGTATAAGGTGGTTGCGCCTCTCGCTACTGGGGTTGTGCTGGTGGCACTGTGTGTGGCATTTTACATCTATAGACGAAAGGCGTAAGTCACCTGCAGGGAGCGAAATGTAGATGGCTCGATCCCGCGCGTCATACCAAACTAGGGGGCACGGGTGGCCCAGTCGTCTAAGGCGCCGCGATTCGCTGTGCAGAGTTGCGTCCCTTGGGCACGCCAGAAACCTATGATTGTGGGTTCGAATCCTGGTTCGCCCCGATTATGTTTCTAGGTTTGACGGCACCATACCCGTGCTCGTGGGTTTCACCGAAGTGGTAAACGTCTGAGACCTGCATCACTTTGGGCTTTCCTCCCACATTAAGCTGACACACCGTGATATAACTGGAATACTGTTAAAAGCGGTGTAAAAACCCAACTCACTCACTCATACAAAACTACATTTAAAATGGCCTCGGCATTAAGGCGATATAACAAAGAGTCAGTATATGTGTCTGAATGGTGTGTTCGTATTAAACAGCAGCATGGTATCTCAGTGGGCGAGAAATAGCCAGCATAGGTTCGGACTAGTACAAGTAGCCACACATATGTACAAACACGTCGCTAAGTAAGTGCAATGATCTTTAAGGCGGCGTTGAACACACTTAACCTCATCAGACCTTAAGTACCACACCACTGTACCCTACAACAACGCACACAAAACTTATATATAAGCGAGTGAGTTTGGTTCAACACCATTTAGTATTCTAGCTATATCATGGCGTATGAGCTCAATGTGGGAAGAAAGCCCCATGTGGTGTTGGTCACTTTGGTGAAACACACGGACACGGTGCTGACGAACCTAGAAACATAATCGGGGCGAACCGGGATTCAAACCCGTAGATATAAGTACTAAGTCCCGTGCTACTTGTAGATATAAGTACAGTAGTTTTAACCTATGTTTTGTCCCATTATGGTTGACAATCTTTCTGCAGGTACTTTTGGAAACTCAGTACCAGGCTTCTTCAACCGTATCATAGTTATAGATAAATGATACCTGCAAAACTGTATTTGGCATTATTTAATACAATGTAATGCCTTCCATTTGCATTTTGGAAACCAAACTGTCCCAAAACCCTCCGCGCTGTTTCCATGGGAACATACTAAGGTAAATTTGTTTTTCGAAAACTTAACTTTTTCTGTGCTCAAAATTCCTGTCGTGGAAGTTCAAGGATGGAAGTTCAAGTATCATGACACACAATTCAACAAAATGTTAACGTTTTAAAAACAATTAGTACATTGATGATATCAACCTGTTCTATTTTCTTTTAAGGAACGCGTGGTGGGAATTGGTTGAAGAAAATGAAGGGTACATCTCGTTTGAAATGGGTGTGTTCAACGGTTCAATGGAGAGCCTACACAAAAGTACCAGACTGAGTCAGGATGATGACAGAGTATCTACAGGTGGTTATACACGTCTTGGCGTCGGGGCCAGACTCAGCTCGCGTCGTGATGTCACTTCTTATATCAATCCCATCCACGACACGCTGCCTCACGAGAACCAATATGCATGTTTAGCTACACCAGACCACCAGACTGCCATACTTGGTAGCCGTTGTCAGGAATGGGACAATGACTACTCTGTCATCAATGACGTCGATGGAGATGGCGCGACAGAGAGCCACACTTATGAGGATGTATATTTTTAATAGGAAATCATGTCTTTCCAAGGTTAAAAGAATAGTTAAGCTTAAACTATGTCAGGGGCCATTTTTCTCTAACCTAAGTACAAGCTGTATGTTACATCAGTGAAGTTATTCCAACATCTTTCCTTCATTTAGGATCATCCTGAACATTATATACCAAAAGCGTGTCTAGTGTTTGGTTGAATTATTAATTGTAGAGAACAAATATGGTTTAGAAAACCTTAATATATTTATGCATATTTTCCTTGGCATTGATGGGCTTGGGTATGACGGACAACGAACATCTATGATTTCAACAAGGAATATCGATTTTATACTCAATGTTTATCACTTATTCACAACAGTATCAATTAGTATCAGATAGATACTTTATGTATTCTTTATCTATTGTGGTGACTAGCGATGTTGACAGAAATTCTGCCTTCACAAATAAATTGGCTAATTCGGGTCTTTCAAATGGTACTATATGCTTAACTGAAGACATTCAATTTTCAGGCAAAAATTAACAAGACCACAAGTCACAGTACCAGCGATCTTGACTGGCACATAACCTCGCCGGGACCAAGTCCAGAATCACTATAGCTGGTTGATTCTACAATGACAAATATTCTATTCTAATTGGCCAAGGGGGCATGGGTGGCCCAGTCGTCTAAGGCGCCGCGATTCGCTGTGCAGAGTTGCGACCCTTGGGCACGCCAGAAACCTATGATTGCGGGTTCGAATCCCGGTTCGCCCCAATTATGTTTCCAGGTTTGTCAGCACCATACCCGTGTTCGTGGGTTTCACCGAAGTGGTAAACATCTGAGACCTGCATCACTTTGGGCTTTCCTCCCACATTAGGCTGACACGCCGCGATATGACTGGAACACTGTTAAAAGCGGCGTTAAACCCAACTCACTCACTCACTCACTCTTATTGGCCAATCAGGAGTAGTTTTTAAATCACAAAACTCTGATTGAAACAGTGAATCAGATGTCCACATCACCACCGAAGCTATTAGTTATAGAAAAGTACTTTTTTCTCAGTCTTTGACCGTCATCCTTTAGAATTCATGAGTAGTAGTAGTAGTAGTAGTAGTAGGAGTAGGAGGAGGAGGAGGAGGAGGAGTATGCATAAAGAAACATATCAGTAAGAAGCGGGGCATAATTGGTGCCTATGGGGATGCTTGCTTCTTGTCTCAATGTGTTACCCCCAAATTTTACATAGATGTTATTAATGAGGAAGTCCAGAATTTCGTGAACACATATTGTTCTCAGTAAACTTCATATGGCATTTGCTTTCATCTTTGACAAATTGTCCTGAACCTCTGAATGTAGATATGTAACTGTATCTGTGGTCACCACATTTTGAAACAAACGCCCCATGGATCAAGGAATAAAGTTTTTCATTAAGTTTGTCATGTGTGATAGTGGTGTACAATGTTGAACAAACTTATGTTTTGACAGAATTGAACCTGGTTCCTTTCAGAGAGATTGTAAAAGTCATGCAAATCCTTTTTGAGGTTTTGAGAATCTGTGTGGTATCAATTCCACTGGTCTCAAATACTTTCTGTGATTTTTATAGAAAGTCCTTCCTTGATTGTATTAAGGATTATGGTTAATCGTTGAGACAGAGATTCTGTGGTACATTTGCTGGATCCATAGAGGTTATCACGCGAGTGTGTTTTGGGATGGTAAATATCCTGCATTAGGAATAAACATTGTATTTAGCGAGCCTTGGCGAGCTAAATACATAGTGTTTATTCCTAATACAGGATATTTACCATCCCCAAACACACAAGCGTGATAACCTCTTTATCATATAATGTCATTCTTTAATTCTGTGCTTGAAAATAGCTCTCCCTCTCTCACAAACATTACCGAAACATTGCGAGTTGTCCTGGAATGCGCGCATTAATATATATTACGTCGCAGGGTAAGTGATGTGTCAGTCGGACTGTGACAGTAGCCAATATAGTTCCAACTGAAATCTGTTTCTTATACATGGGCGAATAACATATACGCAAAACAACAATTGTTTTTACTTGCATTTCGGGGCAATCCATCGGTCTGTCTGCTAGAGTAACTGCCCTGTCAAAGGGAAGCTACTCTAACCCTAGTCTTTGAGACGTCACGGCCACGATCAGACGTTGTTGACAGTCGGTCTGTCCTGTCATAACGTCAAGTACAGTCAGATGTACACAGCGACAGAGCGACAAAACGAAACAAGGTAACAATTCAAACATATTTCGGCCAAATCCAACTATTTCAATTTGTGGAAAAGGTTTCAAGCCGCAGAGGTCGGCAAGCACAGATATGGCTACTGATCCCGCTTGGCTGGGCCTAGTGCCCTCGCAAAATTGTTTCGAAATTTATATCTCCAAAGTTGCCAAAAGTTATAAAATGCCTTAGCTACATCACAGTTAGACACTGATTTCCAGTATTTTAGACTGTTCTTTTGATAATGATAGCAATTATCCCTTTAGTTTATCCAGATTCCCGATGGTTAATTCTGAATCGATCGCCGAATGACAAGGGCGACGCCATGTTGTTTGTAAACACTGAAAGTAGTCCCTACTTGACCTTTGATATTTGCATCTCTATCCGCATATGACCCCAACGGATATCGTTTTTATCCGTTGGCTTTATCCTGCCGAGAAACCTACCCATTATATGATGAAGCAATATATGTTTCTTTGTACTGTATTTTATGGAGCTTTGCAATCCAGTACAAATGTGACTCAATCCATGCCGCATCACACATTAACACCAAAGATTTCGCAGTACGTTTTATCATTGTAGAATGGAGGTAGATTTGACAGCGATAACATTCAACATTTGAAACAAACAGTTTTTTATCGTTCAAATTGTGTAGAAGGTAGTAAATATTCTGATGGTGTGTTTCGACTGTTGTTGTGTTGATGGGACAGGAAGTGAAAACACAGTCCTGATGAACAAGGAAACATTATTTCCCCGTGCTATTCTTGACATATGTTACTGTTTCCTGTTTGAAACTCTACTTATATTACATACTCAACATAACTTCATGATTTTGTATTGCATTTGATGTGCTATTTCATTAATAAAGCTAGCTAAAAGACTCGATCATCCTGTTATATGTATACACATTATACCACAGAAATACTCCTCGTACTCGTACTCGGAGTCGTCCATCGTCTCTTTGTACTGAAATGTAATGGCACCCGGTATCGCCATTATCATGCTAACGCATCCTTAACCAATGTAATGATCATAGCCCCGGGGGGACTGGGGGTACAAAAGGGCCCCAAACAACCTGTCTGTCGTAAGGGGCGACTAAATGCATCAGACACGCGGTCAGTCTCGGTTGGTGGTAGTCTGTCTCACAGACCCTGATACAAATATATATCAAATACAGCCCATGCAAGTCTATAATGTTTGCCAAGTCTAGATTACTGCAGTATCAGGGTCTGTACAAATCTGCTGAATTCACAAGCGAGCACAGAGCTTGTAATTGTCAGTAAATCTAGCTGTCATTAGTGTTTGGTATTAGCATGTGGCGAGCCTCACCCCCCACTCCCCAAGACCCCACACTGAGACAGGACCTCCCGCGCCGGTGTCACGAAATATATTCGCCCCCAGAATAAAGTCTCCCCCCGGCGAATTTATACCGGTACAGTTCCGCCCCTCTCGAAATAAACTCTCCCCCACCCTACGAAATAAAGTCTCCCCCCAGAATATTTCCTCCCCCGGTCGTTTCATAAATACTTGCCATGCAGTTCAATAGTTGATGTTATTTTGGGTTAGGTAATGTTGTAATCTATTTTTAGCCATTGATTCCATTACTTTGCATAAGTTTGAAGTTGAGATTTTGGTCGATATGAGTTAGCTTGATTAGCTGGTTTATTAGGTTTAGGGATTGGTATGGCTAGGGCCTGTTTCCAGGGAGTAGGGTATAGTTTTAGGTTGTTATTTTTAATTATTTGTTCAGAAGTTAGGTCTAATCCTGGGACTGTGCCCTTTTTCCTGTTTTGGATTACGTAGAGGAGCTCCTCCATTTTGTAGGGTTGGTTTATTTCTAGATTGTTATTGTTTGGTTCTTTTGTGTGTTTGTTTTTTGTTTTAAGTTTATCTTGGAATTTTTGGCTGAAGTTGGTGCTACTGATAACGGCCGAAAAGTGGTTGGCGAGATTATTTGCTTTTTGGGCGGGGTTGGTTGAGTTGTTAATGTTAGTTTTTTATGTCGTTTTAAGCCTCTAATGGCGTGGATTTTGCGCCAGACCGTTCTGGCATCTGTACGGTTATTTATACATTCGCAGAATTTTTTCCAGTCTCTACTTTTGGCTATTTGGACTAGTTTTTGAACCTGGTGGTTTAGTTCGTGGGCTAAGTTTAGATGTGTGTAGTCGCGTTTTGCTTTATTGAAGGCTGATTTACGTTTTCGTCTAGTCTGTTCTATTTCCTCATTCCACCATGGTACCGTGGGTTTGCCTGATGTTTTGAAGGGGATGGAGGTTTTGGCTGCCTTTATTATATATTAGTCTGTTAGGTTTTTACAATAGGTTTCTGGGTCATTATTTTCTATTTCGTTTAAGTTAGCTTCGTTGCAGATATCTTGGGATTGGTCCCAGTTAGCTTATTGTAATAGAATTTTGGTTCTTGGTTTTCTGTTTGGATTGGTACGTTTGTATTTACTATGGTTATGTTTATCGGGAAGCGGTCACTACCTAGCGGGACGTCGTGCACTTCCCATTGAGTACTTTGAGATAGATCGGCGGTGCATATGGTTAGGTCGATAGCCGACATTTTTTGGTTTATCTTATCGTAACTCGTGGGTTGGTTGTTATTTAGGAGTACTAGGTCGTTTGTTTCTATCCATTCGGAGATTAATTTGCCATGATTATCTATTTTATCATCTATGCTCCATGTAGGATGGTGAGCGTTAAGTTTCCTAGGAATATAGTAGATTTATCGCTTATTTGAAGTAGTTTGTTTAGATCCTCAGGTTGGACTTTTTGTTCCGCCCAGTGGTATATATTTATGATGTTTATTTTTCGGTTATTTAATGTGATTTTAATGCAGTTGGCTTCTAGGTTTGGCGTGTCTATTTTTATTTCTTCGTAATTTATATCTTCCCTGATAAATATGATTAGTCCTCCTGTGGCTCTTCTTCGTTTTTGGTTTAGCTCTGTCAGTTCTAACTGAGTTGTAGTTAGGTAGTGTGGATTTGGATTTTTTTGAGAATTTGGTTTCCTGGATACAGGCAATGTGGGGGCCTTTATTTAGTTTAAATTTAGTTTTTAGTTCATGGCCGCGGGAGGTGAGTCCGTTGGCGTTCCACTGAAAAATATTTAGTCCTACCATTATTGGGTTCGGGTGATAGGTGATTTAATTTTTAGTTTTTATTTTATTCGGTGACTTCTTTTAGGTGGAGGTTAAAGAGGAAGAAGGAAAGATCGGTTAATTTTATATTGAAAGCTACTTTGTGGAAGGATTTCATGACAGCTTTTGGTGAGTTTTGACTATGCATGTATACTAGGAGTATTTAGGAGGTTATTTAGGTTTTGGGTGTTGGCTGGTTGGGGAGTTTTGCGGTTTAGTTATTTCTTCCTTTTTGGGGCTGAGAGGGAATTTTGGTTTGTTTTAGTTGGAGTAGTGTCTATTGTTTCCTCAGTAGTGGAGAAATCTTCATCATCGGTTAGATTAGGTTCAGCTGTTTGAATTTCCATAGGACGAAAACACATTAAATGGCCTGGCCCGTGTGCGAAATACGCATCAGTCGGAATGCGCACGTTGAATCTCAAAAGTAAGTAAGTAAGTAAGTCAATAGTTGAGGGTATTGCCTAAAAGTCGGGCCAGCCGGGCCAAGACGGACCAAAGTGTTATTGGCTAATTTCTTCATTATCGGTGATCATACCTACATATCATTGATTCAACATAGACACATGAGATTTATGAACAAGCACCAACCAAAAATGAGATGTAAGCGTCGCTGATCTAGGTAACATGTAAAAGATCAATCGTTAAACGAAATAAGATTTGAAATGTATCAAATACTTCCAGCTATCCTGATACAAATTTCCATCTGTCGGCGTGGCGTTTATATTTATAGGAACGTACTATTGCTAAGTAAATACCACTTTATAATGTCACTGTTGATCGTATTTAAAGCAGACACGTTTATTATAGTAGACCTCTTCTCCCCATACTCTCAACAGTCTCACAAGTGTTCGGTCCGACTTGGCCCGGGCTGTCAAGATCAACTTAAACCTCACAGATGTAACATGAAATGGACTCACACCTATAGACTAGTATTATATCTACCTTAATACCACTTTATAGTGTCTCAGATCGCGGTATTTAAAAAAATAACGTGCTCAAAGTGAAGCGCTTTTCCCTCTACATTATCAACAGGCTCTATCAGAAGTGTTTGTGTTCTGTCCGACTTGGCCCGGGCTGTCAAAATCAACTTTAAACACACATATGTATCATCAAATGTGTTTACATCTATAGACAAGCAAATCACTTCTGATAGACTTACTTACTTACTTACTTTGGAGATTTAACGTGCGCTTTCCGACTGATGCGTATTTCGCACACTGATAGAGACGATGTTTAGTACTTACTTACTTACTTACTTTGGAGATTTAACGTGCGCTTTCCGACTGATGCGTATTTCGCACACGGGCCCGGCCAGGCCATTTAATGTGTTTCCGAAAGGGGCGAAGGTGGTCTGTGCAACCCAAGAGGGGGGGTTTAGGGGTTGCTTATATAGAATTTGGGAATTTTGAGATTTGGAATAGATGCCGATGGGATTGGGGAGGAGAACTAAGGGAGCTGGGTATGGTGGATGTTTGTTTGTTTATGTGATTTTGATTTGGTGAGTTATTGTGTTTTTAGATGCGTTTTATTAGTTCCGTTTTGATTAAGAATACGCCTAAGGCCTTGAAGTTTTCTAGTTTATTTTGTGGGTTTAGTATTGCTTCTAGAGTTAGAGCCTTGTTTAGATTGAGGGTGGTTTGTAATGCGGTTCGATGTGTTAGGTAGTGTGTGCAGTGGATGAGTGCGTGTTCTGGGGTTTCTGGTTGTTTGCAGTGTGGGCAGTTACCTGTAGTGTGTTTTTTAAATTTTTTTAGGTGGTTATTTAGGTTGGTGTGTCCTGTTTGGAGTTTAGTGATTACTCTGTCGATTTTTTTGGATGGATGGAGAATTTTTGGTTTGGTTAGTGGTTTGCTGAGCACTTTTTTGATTTGGCTATTTGAGTTTAGATATAGGTTATGCCATTTTTTGGTGATTTTTTGCTTGTTTACACTTTTAATTTCTGATTTTGAGATGGGTAAGTTTAAGCTTATTTCTGGGATTTTGAGGGATAGTTTAGCTGCTTTATCGGCGTTTTCATTACCGTATATTCCTACGTGGGCGGGTATCCACAAGAAGGTTATTTGTTTGCCTGCCTTAGTTAGGTCGTTGGAGCTTTTAAGTATTTGATTTATTAATTGAGGTCGGTTTTTGGTATTTTTGTTTTGGAGGGCTTGCAGTCCACTTAGGGAGTCGGTAAGTATTAGGATTTTTTTGTGGTTTTTGGATTCTTGATTATGGAGGGCTGAGGCCATGCCCATTAGTTCTGCCGTGAATATTGATTGGTTGTTTGGGAGTCGGAAGGATTGTGTGGTTTTAGTTGGTTGTGTGGTATGGACTCCGAAACCTGTGTGTTTGGAGGTCGGATCTGAGGATCCGTCCGTGTAAATGTGACACCAATTTGGCCAATTTTCGTGTATGTATGCTAGTGTGGTAGTTTTAGCTATGTTTGGGTCGGTTTGTTTATTTATTTGGCTAGCTAGTGTTGTGTCTATTTTGGGTATTTTAAGTTTAGGGGTGAAGATATTTGATTGTTTGCAGTTTTGTTTAAGATTTTTAATTTGGTGTTCATTTAGGTAGTTTGTTATTCTTTGGGATATTGGGGTAAGTAAGGGGTGTTTACGAGCTAGAGCTTGGTTTTTGGGGCTGATGTTTTGGTTTATTAAGTTTTGGATGAGAGGGTTTGATTGGGACGCGGCCCAGAAATTTAAGCTTAGCTGTTCCCTGCGTAGACTTAGTGGCATTTCTCCTGTTAAGGCCTGAAGTGAGGTGTAGGAGGTGCCATGTTGGGTGCGTGTAATTAGTTTGAGAGCCTGATATTGTATTGAGTCAAGTTTTTTAGATAGAGAGTTGTTTAGGGTGTTGTATATGGCGCAGCCGTAGTCTAGTTTTGATCTAATTAGTGATATGTAGAGAGAGAGGAGGGTATCTTTGGATGCTCCCCAGTTAGAGCCAGTTAGTTTATATGCTAGTCGTTAGGTACAAAGATTGTTTAGTAACTTTAGAAGTTATTAACACGTGTCGTGTCAGCCCTATGACATTCGATTGTCCACTTCCAGAAAACATCCTGTGTTGGTTTAACATGAATTAGTAAAGGTTCATTAGGGATGCCCAACACGTTAATTAATGAAAGACGAGTAGTCAAAACACTGTCATTTCCTGCCCAGGATATCACACCCCTACACACTAAGGTCGGTGAGAAACATTCTCATCAAAGAAAACAGTCAAGACTATAGATTCCCGTCGTCTAGCTACACATCCTGTGATGAATTAAAGGTTGAAGAATTAAAAACTGAACTGTCCTAAGTTTATATCTAAAATTTTGGAATTGGACACAGTGATAAAGTCTTATATACTCATAAATATTGGTTTTATGTTTTAACGGAGATATGATATTTTCTTATGAAATATCGCGTATTAGTGTAATATGCATGCTTAACCATTCATTGTACCTTTCTAAACCATGTAATATCAGTCAATCGAGTGGGAAAACAGGCCTATCCTCGCTCTATAAAGGACTATGTCAATCATTTTGCAAGTTGAAATGACCCCTGATACTTTATAAATACTTTATGACAGTTTATGGAGTCAAAATCAATGCTGATTTTTCATAAACTTAATGCTTCGTACTATAGGCATGGTGCCTCTTCAGTGCTGAATAAAGATTGAAAATACATCAGTCAGTCAAAGATGAAGGAGTTCTTGAGAATTAGTTCATGTTTTGTTCTTAGACTTACATTTCAACCATCGATTGTGTTTTTAACAAGGTGTTCTTCATTAAGATTCACGGCCAGCCCGATTGTAACAATTACATGTACACTTTGCTTTGACGATGCCGGTTGATGTTATTCAATACAGGCTGGGGTGGTTTTTAAAAAAAAATCTATTCTACATGCTTATCATTTCGGGAAGATGATACACATTTCTCTATATTTTGGGTTACTTTGCTTATCTAATTTCCGATTATCATTCTTAGTTTTACTTTTTCTCTTCGGCTGCGGTGATATCCATCCGAATCCAGGCCCTTTGCATAGTCCAGATTTAAAGATTATATATCTAAACGTACGCAGTCTTAAAGACAAAGTAGATTTTATCAGTGCTGAATTAGATAGTTATGATGTTGTATGTTTAACAGAAACCTGCTTGCACCATGATATTCTAGCCACTGATATTACACTGATACCATTTTCAAATCGTAGCCTGTATTAAGGAATATATTTTAGATCTTAAATCAGAGTATAACGGACAGCCTGAGCTGGAGGCGCGCGTGGATATGTTGACAGTTTTTACGTAGTTAGTGGTAAAACCGAATGTTTGCGAGGATTAATAAGATTTCTGAATTCTGTTACAACAGTAACCGTACATGTATTTGTTACATTAAGTCATTTCATTCAAATTTGTTTGGTATGATTATGTCTTATAATTATTTTAGGATGGAAGGTACAGTTACCAAATAAAATATGCTGAAATATCAATTCATTATGACCATATTTCATAATCTATTTTTTAAAGAAACCCTCCTTACATTAGAGATAACTATTTAAAGAATATAGTACTTAAAGACATTGCAACAAACCGAATAATCAGAGGGGAGACTTTATACTGAGGGGGGCGCGAAACATATCCGCCCGGGGGAGATTTTATTTCAGAACAGATTCTCCGGGGGAGAATCTGTACCGGTATAAACTCTCCGGGGGGAGAATTTGTACGGGGGAGAGTTTATACCGGGACACCGGCCCTGCCAACTCACTCAGGCCAGACAACATTTGGGATTATATTGCAGACCTGTGACATATATACTCTCTAGTTTCTTTACTTGTTTCATTGTTACCCTTGTGGGGAGCGAGGATTTCTAAAAGTTTTGAAAAGCTGTGTAAGAATTCTTTTTTTCTTTTCTGCTTGTAAGAATGAATAGGAACATGGATGAGCTTATTGCTTCATCACTGATGGAAGCAAATATACAGAGCATACGTCCAAATCAAAAGACAGTCATTGAAAGGTATTTAAATGGTAAAGATGTGTTGTTTGGCTCTCAAATTGGTAGTGGAAAATCATTGACATTTGAACTTTCTCCCTATTTATACAAGGCAGTAGAAAATACAAGCCGTGCTACTGTCATGGCTGTGTCGCCCTTGATCGCTCTTATGGAGAAACAAACGGAGAAATGTGTGTCATTAGGACTCAAGGCTGTGTACCTGAATGAAGTCGCACAGGAAGCAACACTGACGAATGATGACAGTCTGGTATCTACCATAGAGAAATTGACTGTCGATGACATAAGGGATGGAGAAGCTGACATAATATTCACCAGTCCAGAATCTATTCTTGGACATCATCGGGACATAATTACTGAATTGGATAAAGAAAAACATCTTAAGGCAGTTTTCATAAATGAAGCACATTGAAATTCCAAATTGTAAGTATACAAGATTGCCTCTCTCTCTCAACATGTATACATACCAATATGTATGTATCTATCTATGTATCTATCTCTCTTTCTCTCTCTCTCTCTCTCTCTCTCTCTCTCTCTCTCTCTCTCTCGCTCTCTCTCTTTCACAATATCCCAACATGCAAGCACATGCCATATTGATGAAATATAAGAGGTGTTTGTCCGGGAGAAATGCAGTCAAGCCTTGAATGAGACAGTATTGCAAAGGAACTTCATGTCGCCGGGTGGACCTTCAACAGCGTTTTGAAAGTTCTCCATCAAAAGTGACACCACCTCATGACTGTTGTGATTTATCTGATCTGACATTCAAATGCCAGTGTCACCGCGTGGAAATATACTGAACCAAATTAAATACTTCACAATCCTAAAATTTTAACATTTTGACCAGTTATCATTGTGGGCCCTTATTGTGTATTTAAACAGTAATGGCCACATATTGTCTTCAGATAACACCCGTTTTTGTGCAGGTGAATCGATCAAAATCATGTGCAGAGCACTATATATGGCAAAAGTGGTTTTTCACGTGCAACTGGTCACGTGGCCATAATACCGCACGTGTTGTTTTCAGCAATACTTATTAGCAGTCATTAACAAAAAAAGAAAAACACAAGAAAACAAAAGTCTTTACGGCCATTTGTCATGCCACGCCTTTCAAATGTGCAACGTGAACGTGCCATCGGCATGTTGCAGACGGGAACGTCCGTAGCTGAAGTCGCAAGGACGATGGGTTGTAGTCGACGGACTGTTTATGATTTACAGACTCGTCTACAGCAAACGGGTACCACCGCTGATCGCCCTTGGTCAGGCCGACCACGTGTGACGTCACATGCAGGGGATCGTCAGATCGTCTTACGTCACCTCCGTAACCGATTGTTGACGGCTACATCAACCTGTTTAGGGGTAGACTGAGTGCGCAAACTGTTCGAAACCGTCTGAGAATTGCTCACCTTCAAGCACGACGGCCATACTGCGGGCCGATTCTGACTCAATTACACAGACGTCAACGTCAATTGTGGACACAGCAACACTTACGAGGAATTGGAATCAAGTCGTCTTCAGTGATGGCTCCCGATTTAATCTTCGATTTGCTGATGGTAGGGTGAAGGTGCCGTCATGAACGTTACGCCCAGTGTTGTGTACAGGAAGGTGACAGATTTCGAGGCGGAAGTGTCATGGTGTGGGGTGCTTTCTGTAGCAATGCACGTTCCAGGCTTCTTGTCATCCGTGGCAACCTCAACGCTGCTGCTTACCGCGACCAGGTGCGGGCACCAGAACTTCTGCCTTTTATGGCAGCACATGGACCCGGTTTGATCTTCCAACACGACAATGCCAGACCCCACACAGCAATTTTGACGAGGAATTTCCTTCAGAATGCGGGAGTCAACGTCATGGACTGGCCGTCAAGGTCTCCCGACCTCAATCCCATCGAACACGTCTGGGATGCTCTTGGCAGAAGTCTGCGCACTCTCCAGAACCAACCACAGAATTTGCAAGATCTTGGCACCATTTTGCAGCAACAATGGCGTCGTCGTCCCAATCATGTGTTCACAAGCATCACAAGGTCCATGTGGAGGCGTTGTGTGGCAGTTGTCAACGCACATGGTGGCCATACACGATACTGAACGTGTGTGCCATCAGATTCTCGTGCTTGGGATTTATGATTTAAACTGTTGATGTTATTACCGAATACCGTAGGTGCTTGGAACAAATTGGATATGATAGAGACAAAATCTTTTCCATAATCCTAGGAAACCTCCATCATTCCGACTATATCATTAGCGTGTGTTTGAGAATCATAATTAAAAAGTGATCATTCCAGGTTTCAAATGTAGACAAAAAGGCTGGATCTGCTTGAATACTGCTCGACACAAAGGGAAAGTTACCTATTGAAGAAATGAAGTCAGCCCAGCCACACAATCTTGTCATTGATATTATATTCTCATGCTGAACCTGTCTGCTTCTGATCTAACGGTTAAGGACAGTAAAATCATGTAGCGCACTAAATATATGTGTGAAGTACTTTATTGGTGTCCTCTGCCCTGGTGCGGCTGGAATAATGCTAAAAGTGGCTTAAAACCCTCCCCTTTCACTCCAAGCTAACGCAGCCATTGTATTCTTAAACCAGGCTCTTCACTTCTATTACTGGATGATTGGGCTTAGTTTGCAAAGGTTATCAACTTACTTGTATTCACGAGTGTCCAACAAGCCAAATGAGCCATACTGTGTCGGTTATTTTGCGATCAAAATAAGTTGATCTTTGATAGTTAATTGACCTTAATCTTTACTTTTTGTATTAAATGTCAAGTAATTCAAGAGACCTGTCTAACTGAAAAAAATGAGTGAGTTGTGTTTAACGCCGCTTTTAACAGTATTCCAGTTATATCACGGCGTGTCAGCTTAATGTGGGAGGAAAGCCCGAAGTGATGCACGTCTCAGACGGTGAAACCAACGAGCACGGGTATGGTGCCGACAAACTTAGAAACATAATCGGGGCGAACCGGGATTCGAACCCACAATCATAGGTTTCTGGCGTGGCAAGGGACGCAACTCTGCACAGCGAATCGCGGCGCCTTAGGCGACTGGGCCACCCGTGCCCCCACTGAAAAAATGAACTGATATATTGAAATACTGAAACATTATTACATTGATACCAGCAATTTAAAAGGCTTTGCCTTCTTTTTCTCTGAACATCGACTTACACATTTTAACTGAAGGTCAGTGACTGCGGTTTATGTAACAAACATGCATGGTTACCAGACCATTTAGATAAGTTCAAGGTATTGCGTTTTTACGATTGTTAGTCACACTGCAATCGAATTTGTTTGTTTGTTGTTTAACGCCTGACTTAGCAATATTCCAGCTATATGACGGCGGTCTGTAAATAATCAAGTCTGGACCAGACAATCCAGTGATTGACATCATGAGCATCGATTTAGGCAATTGGGACCGATGACATGCATCAACCAAGTCAGCGAGCCTGACCACCCGATCCCGTTAGTCGCCTCTTACGACAAGCATAGTCGCTTTTTACGGCAAGCATGAGTTGCTGAAGACCTATTCAACCCCGGATCTTTATGGGTCCACTGCAATCGTAACATGGCCGACAGAACAATGGAAAGCAAATATTAACGTTCATGGTGTTGAGGACCTCCACTGGCTCAAAATCAAGAGAGAATCCAGTATAAAGTGATGCTGATTGTGTTCAATGCGAGACACAATCAAAAACCAACTTATATCAGCGAGCTTCTTGAAGAGTACGTGCCTGGGAGATGTCTCAGATCAAGCTGCTAGTCCCCACTCTCTGTGCCTAGTGTTAGAACGGCGACTTTTGGAGGTCGGAGTTTAGCCAAAGTTGCCCCTGAGCTATGGAATAGGCTGCCATTGGATATCAGGAACATTGACAGTCCTACTTTGTTCCGATCAAGACTCAAAACCTATCTTTTCACCAAATCTTTCTTGGAGTATTGAGGCTTTGTGTTTTCCTAGCTGTGTAATGTCTCTTTTTTGAATGATGAAGCGCTTTTGAGCAGTTCTTCGAACTGGATACCAGCGCTATATACATCTGTAGTTATTATTATTGTAGTTATTAAATTCTTTTCTTCCAAATTTACACAGGAAATTAGTCAAAAAATGAAACTTTGTTGACTCCTGTTGTGAAATGCACTTTAGCATGAGTAACTTTATTCGGACATGTCCTGGCTATAAATATATACAGGCGTTGAGGAAACCGAGACTAATGCATTGAAAATATGGACAAAAAATAGGCACGTAAAAGAAATGTCGATAAATAATGTGATTTACTCAGCTGTTCAAGTTTCACACAAAGACAAATATATAAATAATGAATATTTACACATGTGCATGGCGGATTGGTGTAAACAGCATTCTGTCTCTCATACATGTATATGGGACGGGATATATGGGACGGTTGTGGTGTCAAACGCTAACGTAATATTGTATATACTCTTAAACAAAAGTTAAGCATAGGCGGACTTTTATTCACATTAAATATAAGCATTTGCACAATAATCAGAAACATATTCGAACAAAAACTCGAATAAGCATTATTCAGTAAGCCTAAAAGGACATTTAGTTGGTAAATTGGACGTCAAAATATTGATAACCATCAGTTCATAAGCAATATTAAATTTTAATTACAATTTTATTCATAACAATATCTTTGATATGTGTACTTGGTCAATTCACAATACTGATCTGTGAAATGAAATGTTATAAAACTTTTGAATAAGTTAATTAATTACCTGCTTGAAAATTGTCCTTCCGGTAATGTTAGTTTAACAAACAAACAATTAAGAACGAACTGCATTTGTTAGAGGGTAGTAATTCCTGCAGGAAGTTTCAGTAGACCACAGAAGCAACTGACGGTCAAAAGAAACTGTACTATAGTTTGAAATCACTCTAGTTTTAAAAACACAAAGGATAGATTATGATTTGGTTTGGTTTGTTGTTTAACGCCGCAGTCAGCAATATTCTAGCTCTATGACGGCGGTCTATAAATAATCGAGTCTGGACCAGACAATCCAGTGATTGACATAATGAGCATCGATCCACGCAATTTGGATACGATGACATGCATCAACCAAGTCAGCGAGCCTGACCACCCGATCCCGTTAGTCGCCTCTTACGACAAGCATAGTCGCCTTTTACGGCAAGCGTGGGTTTCTGAAAAACTATTCTACCCCGGATCTTCAAGGTATGATTTAAAATGTTTTGAAAAGATCAAAATCTCAACGAAATCAATAATAAAAATGACAGTCATACAGCATACGATGCGATATTGGCTTGACAGTTGTCCTAATTGAGGTGGGGTAGGAAAAACACTTTCAACGTAATGAACAAAGGGCACACACGTCTAAAATCGCTCAAATTTAATGACACGTGCAAAAACTCTCCAGCGCATAAACAAAGGCAGTCGTCTGATGACGTCACGCGGGATACGTCGCTATTCTTTTTGGAGGAGCTGGATCAGTTCTGGTTGGTTGGCCCGAGGATGTGGTCGCTGTCGAACACGACGATACATGACATCCCAGAGGTGTTCTGTGAGGGACATGTCTGGGGAGCCCACAGGCCAGGGCAACACGCTGATAAAGGTTCTTAATGTCAGTCACTGGTTTGTCCGATCCAGTAACAAATAAATTATTAACATGACGCCGTGATAAAGTCCATATGTAAAAAAACATTGACTCACTTCACTGTATTTCCGCATTAAACAATATGATCGAAACCTTACTACAGATGAAACAGAACAAACGTGTAGCTGCAGCTAAAAGGAAGTCATTAAATAGTTGATAAGTCAGTCGGCTCTTTTGTGATGCATGTGGCAAACCTTATATAGCATCACTTTGATGATGAAGACACGGGGAAGACGTCGATGTGTGACTTTACTTCTCTTGCTGTTGATTATCAGGGTAGGCATTTAATACATCTACTGAAGCATTCCAATGACCACTTAAGTCCATAGACTAGATAGTGGACGCATCCATATATCATACTTTGAAAAAAAATAATGTTGTGATATAATTACTGACATACTTTGTATTAAATTAGCATGCTCCATTGCGTCTCAAAGGTTGTGAAATGTGAACACCAAACACTGGAGTTATGCCTCGACATAATGGCAAAGATGGGAAGTTGAAGTTATCCCACTAGTCAAACAGTCTTGTTGCTTTCTTATTGTGTTACTCTGAATTTTTATGTATAGATCTAAATATGAAACAGATAGGTTGGTGTATTTCTAGTTCAGTGGAAGGAAACTGGCTCTTTGATATCAGATTGTTCATATACCTTAAGCTTCAGTTAAACTTATTAGGCACATGGACCTTAAGTAATCTATTTTACATAATTTTATTAGTAAACTTCATATGGATCTAAAGTAATGGATTCTACATATCATTTTATTAGTTAATTTCACATGGACCTAAAATGATGAACTCTTCAAATCATTTTATTAGTAAACTTGACAAGGACCTAAAGTATCGAATTCTACATATTATTTTATTAGGAATCTTCACATGGACCTAAAGTAATGAATTTACAAATTATTTTAAATATTTTACATATAATTTCCCATCACTAAGTATCGTCTTGTATTAATCCATTATTCCCGAAATGGATTGAAAATTCATTTTGAATTGTTCACTGTTTCACAGACAATTAATGCTGAATTAAATTGTAATTTAACGTTTCATTTTAACGTTTTTGAAACTTTTCACATATGTTCAACATGTTAGTAGATGTTAACATAAACACAGCTCCGATTCGCATCTTCTTATCTCAACAGCAAGTGAAGACTGACGGTAAGCTGGACATTCGATTCATCAGTTACTGGTCAGATGGGAAAGAGATCAGCGGTCATTGTTGTGACAATGGGCTCCGGGTTTGGTGCAATGATAAATGTGACCCAATATTTACACTGTGCATTGATGGGTAAGTACCGATAAAACTTGAACTGACAAACTATACTTACAATTCATTTTTGGACAGTATTCTATTTGTAAATAAAAGACTTGTGGCCTTATCAGAGTGAGTGAGTGAGTATTGTTTTACGCCGCTTTTAGCAATAATCCAGCAATATCACGGCTGGGGACACCAGAAATGGGCTTCACACATTGTACCCAGGTCTTCTGATTTCAACTCGGACGTTACTATATCAGGATAAGTACATCAATTTAGCGACAAAACCTAGGGCCAAGGGCAACACTGCCAAGGGTAACACTGCCAAGGACAGCACTGCCAAGGGTGACACTGCCAAGAGCAGCACTGCCAAGGGTAACACTGCCAAGAGCAGCACTGCCAAGGGTAACACTGCCAAGGGCAGCACTCCAAGGGTAACACTTCCATGGGCAGCACTGCCAAGGGTAACACTGCCAAGGGCAGCACTGCTAAGGGTAGCACTGCCAAGGTAACACTGCCAAGGGCAGCACTGTCAAGGGCAGCACTGCTAAGGGTAACACTGCCAAGGGTAACACTGCCAAGGGCAGCACTGCCAAGGGTAACACTGCCAAGGGCAGCACTGCAAAGGGTAACACTGCTAAGGATAGCACTGCCAAGGGAAACACTGCCAAGGACAGCACTGCCAAGGGTGACACTGCCAAGAGCAGCACTGCCAAGGGTAGCACTGCCAAGGGTAACACTGCCAAGGGCAGCACTCCAAGGGTAACACTTCCATGGGCAGCACTGCCAAGGGTAACACTGCCAAGGGCAGCACTGCTAAGGGTAGCACTGCCAAGGTAACACTGCCAAGGGCAGCACTGTCAAGGGCAGCACTGCTAAGGGTAACACTGCCAAGGGTAACACTGCCAAGGGCAGCACTGCCAAGGGTAACACTGCCAAGGGCAGCACTGCAAAGGGTAACACTGCTAAGGATAGCACTGCCAAGGGAAACACTGCCAAGGGCAGCACTGCCAAGGGTAGCACTGCCAAGGGTAACACTGCCAAGGGCAGCACCGCTAAGGGTAACACTGCCAAGGGCAGCACTGCCAAGAATAACACTGCCAAGGGTAACACTGCCAAGGGCAGCACTGCTAAGGGTAACACTGCCAAGGGTAACACTGCCAAGGGTAACACTCCCAAGGGCAGCACTGCCAAGGGTAACACTCCCAAGGGCAGCACTGCAAAGGGCAGCACTGCCAAGGGTAACACTGCCAAGGGTAACACTGCCAAGGGCAGCACTGCCAAGGGTAACACTGCCAAGGGTGACACTGCCAAGGGTAGCACTGCCAAGGGTAGCACTGCCAAAGGCAGCACTGCCAAGGGTAACACTGCCAAGGGTAACACTGCCAAGGGTAGCACTGCCAAGGGTAGCACTGCCAAAGGTAGCACTGCCAAGGGTAACACTGCCAAGGGTGACACTGCCAAGGGTAACACTGCAAAAGGTAGCACTGCCAAGGGTAACACTGCCAAGGGCAGCACAGCCAAGGGTAACACTGTCAAGGGCAGCACAGCCAAGGGTAGCACTGCCAAGGGTAACACTGCCAAGGGTAGAACTGCCAAGGGCAGCACTGCCAAGAGTAACACTGCCAAGAGTTCCTTCTTCGTTGTCCCCTTGATTATGTGTCTCTTGATTCTGTACTTGAACCTTTTTGCGCCCTTATTGTGCCACGTTGTACCTTGTGTTTGACTTGAAATATTAATGCTTGTAACGACAACTCTGTTTTACATTCGGTTTACAAATCATTCTGGCTCTATATTTAGGAGATGCATGCTGTGTTTTTAATCTCGAGCTATGGCACCTGTAGATTAGACCTGCGATAAACAACAATCGTATGTTATTGCAGCCCTGACGGAAGAGAGAAGTGTTCTCTATATGAAAGCACTACGGTCTACATAGATAACCACAACACAATCCACTTTGGAAGCAGCATTCAAGGAACAGCAAATCCATTCATCATCAATGTGCCCAAAGCAGTACCGGTAGTATTTTTACCAAACTTTATTATTCACTAAGAGATTCACTACCTATGAGATAATGTGACATTGTATCAACCACTGGTGATTCTGGCCAAGAATCGATTATTTACACGGCGCCGTGAAATAACAGGAATATTCTATTACGAGTTATGTCCCTTCTAAGTATCTCCTATTGACCACAATCAGATTCCACCCGTTATATTACTACATTTGCTTCAAATGAAATGGCGGCGCCCGGTCGCGACTATCTGATAGATAATCAAGATCTATATTGTCAAAGGGTTTTACCTCGCGAAGTGAATCAAATTACTTGAGCATCTTGATTAAAAACCTAAAACGATTTGGAAGATTATGAAGGGAGGATGCCTGGAATATTGCTTCCTGTGGCATTAAACACCAAATTAACATGGAATATACATGCTCTTTTCTCCAGTCCTCAATAAAAATAACGGTGCAGGTGTATGACAAAGATGACTTCTCCAGTGACGACCACATGGACACACTCTCCAAGCTGATCAACATCCAGGCTGCTACTTCAGAACAGACAGCCCTGTACACCCCATACACAGTGTGGGGAAGAACAAAGTGAGTCAGACTGAGACCTAACTGGGATGATACAGATTAGTTTGAACAGAACGAATAAGCTTTCGTGTTTGTTTGTTCATGTACACTTCAAAATGACAAGGTTGCAACATGAATATCAAACTAGTATTGGGGTTTTCATTAATCTTAGTCTAGAACCACAATAATGTTGATCTGTCCCAGGGTTTACATATAACAATGTTTGGCTCATGGTGCAACATAAAAAGGCCAACCATTGGCAGAGCAATATGTCTGGAACATTAGGTTTCTAGTCCTGCTGATCAAGGACGAAGATTAATTGATAGCGCAGGGAGGATTGTTCCAAAGAAAAGAGAAACGATATATTTCAATCGACTTGCTGGAACAGAAAACATTGAAATCCTGGCTGATATGAGGGATCTTATTTTCTAACCTGCATGTTTCTGTATTCCTCCGACTGGCCATTGGGACTTTATTCAGGAGTTACCTGCCCTTTGCTTAGTTACACACCATGCTGTCTCTAGAAACGACATGGCGCCGATCAAGAGTTGCCGTAATTAATGTGTAACTTTTTAATTAATGTCTTTCTCCATATTTGAACTGACCAGCTTGTGCAACAACACAGTTTCATATTCAATTTGCTGCCTGTTTTATTTTTTAAAAATGGAGCAATTGTGACTGTTGTCATATTATCGAATATATGACCTATATCTAAGAAAGGATTATTGTAAACTGTAACGTGGTTTCAAATAATGATGGAGAATTTGCAAAGAAAGATGGAAAGATGACAATCTGAAATGTTTGGTGTGAATTATTATTTCAGGTTACAGATTGAGGTCCGTGCCTACTGTGACCCGGACTGGTACGGGTCAGTGTGTGAGACATATTGCAAGGCCCCTCCTGACCAGAGTGACTACACGTGCAACGAACACAATGGAGCAAAAGTGTGCTTTGAAGGTATGTTCAGAAAGTTGATGTCAGTGCTGTGTTTGATACCTCGCTGTACACTAAATTGCAGCCGAAAACACGACTGCATCCGAATTAAGTTGATGCGAAAATACATTAAAACCCGTTATCTGTTATCTTGACGGGGCTTGAATACTGAATACCGGATACTCCTTCCTTAGTAACGATGTTTAGGCTGCTATGTTTAGCCATCTCACTAACATTTTTGAAAAATATCATCTATTTGGATGTCACTGGTGAAGTTTGCGCGCGTCATTATGGAACTTAATAATATCGAGGCAGTTTCGAGGTTTAATGCCAGCGGAGTCCATTTCGCTTCATATTTGGAGCTTAATTGTCCTGTTGTAAAAATGGTCCCGCAGTCGCGTGCTTCTATATAATTACTCTCAAACACCCATGGCTTATCGGAACCTGGTATTCGGTACGCGTACCCGGGACAGTTCCGTCAAAGTGGTTGGTTGGTTTGTTGTTTAACGCCGCACTCAGCAATATTCCAGCTCTATGACGGCGGTCTGTAAATAATCGAGTCTGGACCAGACATTCCAGTGATTGATATCATGAGCATCGATCCACGCAATTGGGATCGATTACATGCATCAACCAAGTCAGCGAGCCTGACCACCCGATCGCGTTAGTCGCCTTTTACGACAAGCATGGTCAGCTTTTACGGCAAGTATGGGTTGCTGAAGACCTATTCTACCCCGGATCTTCACGGGTCTCCGTTCAAAGTGAAAGAGATTGGATTGATACATTTCAGGAATAGTGAATCATGCGTATTGAGTAATGTTCACTTGTATAAAACGCAATGAATTTGAATCAAACAATTGCAGGTTGGAAGGGAGATGTCTGCGATGAGGACGTCGATGAATGCGCAGCAATATATATTAACAACTTGTGTCAACATGGGGGCAGTTGTACAAATACACGCGGAGGTTTTGAGTGCAGTTGTGTGGAGGGTATCACAGGTGAGAAGACGATATCTGCGATTAATCTACATTGATTCCCACACAGAAGGTCTTCGTTCGATTGTTGCCACAATATGTGAAGTTCATGTTTTGGTTTGGTTTGTTGTTTAACGCCGCACTCAACAATATTCCAGCTATATGACGGCGGTCTGAAAATAATCGAGTCTGGACCAGACAGTCCAGTGATTAATATCATGAGCATCGATCCACGCAATTGGGATCGATGACATTCATGCATCAAGTCAGGGAGCCTGACCACCCGATCCCGTTGGTCGCCTTTTACGACAAGCATAGTCATCTTTTACGGCAAGCATGGGTTGCTGAAGACCTATTCTACCCCGGAATCTTCAGGGGTCCTGATGTTAACTCCCTGGTATGGCTGTAGTACTTCGTTTCTACAACGGCCTGAACTCTGTATTCTCGGATCAGACGGGGAGATGGATGTTGGGGGCAGGAGACAGACTCACACACGCAGACACACAGACACACACATACATACAGACAGACATACTCATGTACACAGACACATACACACATAGAGGGACGCACACAGACACACTCACCCACACAGCCACAGAGAGACAAATACACACAGACAGATACATACAAACACATGGACGGAAACAAACACACAGACACTATCAGACAGATATACACACTCACGCTCGAAGACACTATCACAGATAGGTATATGCAGGCACAGACAGAGACACACACCCAAACAGACCAACACATAGAGACAGACATACTTTCACGAACACAGACACAAACTTGCAACACTCAAACAGACACACACCCAAACAGACCAACACATAGACAGACATACTTTCACGAACACAGACACAATCATGCAACACTCAAACAGACACACACCCAAACAGACCAACACATAGACAGACATACTTTCACGAACACAGACACAAACATGCAACACTCAAACAGACACACACCCAAACAGACCAACACATAGACAGACATACTTTCACGAACACAGACACAAACATGCAACACTCAAACAGACACACACATAGCGACAGGTACACAGAAACCCAAATATAGACAGACACACACATACGCAGGTCCCAACACACAGACGCAAGCACACACCCAGGCACCCAAAAAGACACACATCCAGACAACCAAGCCATACACAGACAGACATACACATGTACATAGACACAGAATCCACCCGCGCACACACACACACACGCTCGCACGCACGCACACTCACGCAAGCACACAGACACGCACGCACGGACGCACACACACAGCGGCAGTGGCATAAGGGTTAAGAACTATAAAAAGGAACAATAGTGGGCAGCTTCAATGGCAAATAGATTTGATTTAATTGGTCGAGTAATACATCTATTTTATAATGCTTTGTATTCTCCATATACTTCCTAAACTTTGTTCAGGAAGACGATGTGAAAACATTATCAACCAGTGTGCACTGAAGCCATGTCTCAATGGAGGGACATGTGACGGAAACCAAACAGACTTCCACTGCGCATGCTCAGTAAAGTGGACTGGAGAGACATGCGCAGAGACGGTTAATTTCTGTGACAGCGCTTCCTGTAACAGAGGGAATTGCACACCGGAACTCTTGACGGCAACTGGGTTCAAGTGTGATTGTGATTTTGCATGGGTGGGGGAAAGATGCAGTCAAAGTGTTGGTAGGTGGAATATTTTCTTGTGCTTTCCTTATATACGTGTGGGTTTTTCTCGCCGAACTGTTGGTATGAATGAACAGTAGATGTCACCAGAAAACACATAAGTTACATGTTTTAAAAAAAAAAATTATTCTGGTGTTGTCAATGTATTGAGTTAGATGCCTGTGTATATTCTTGATAAAACAGTTGTTGATTAGGATCAAAGTAAAAGTATTTCATGTAAGTGAAACACTAAATGGCATTAGGAACAGGGATAGTTTCATGACGATTAGTTAAATAATGCATTTATTACTGTTTTTTAAAATGTCAATTTCGTCATTATAAATAAAGAGCTAGAATAGAACAGTTTAACACGATTTCAATGAAAACATTGGCCAATGACGTTTAAATGAATTATTTCATTTATTGCTTCTAGTTGTCAATTACCTATTTACTTTAAAAAAATTCTGATTGAGAACTTCATGTTCTTTGTAATCAGGCATTGTCAACATCACGCTCCTGGGAGAGATTGATCACACAAACAGAGGTGACCTGACCGATGGCTTGAACAGACTCATCACCGAACTTTGGGAAATTCCAGGAAAAGTGGATGTCAAGTTTACCGCAAAAACACAGACAGAATGCAAGTGAGTGATCAACAGGACGACGCTATATCGGTCCAACAGTCTACATTGACTATAGTATTTGAGTAAATCCATCTCGCAATGAATGTCACGATCAAAACTAAGTTTGCTTTTTGAAATATATATTTCAGTTATACTACAACGTACGTACAACTCTATTCAGCTGTAGAGAACGACACCATCCTGGACAGCGCTTTAGTAAATGTGATCTTCGAATCCAACAGTGATGACGTCCTCAATGAATATCTGCCTCTTCCGTTGTACCCTCCCCGACAAGAAGAGAAGTCGACGGTGAAGGTAAACTACACGATGCCAACAGAGGTTGTTGCCGATATCTTGTTAAATGTTCATGAAACATCGTATGCCATACATGGTTCAGGTGACTTACACGATGCACATTTTTATCCTTATGTAGGGTGGTTTGCTTGTTTATTTGTTATGTGACGCAGCAATATTCCAACTATATGACGATGGTCTGTAATACAATGAGATGCCATCAGCCAAGTCAGCGAGCTGGACCACCCGATCGATTAAGTCACCTCTTATGTCGACACATATGCTGGAATCTATTTGCTTACCTGTCATCCGTACAGTCATATGTAAGAACCATTACTGGTTCTGATTAAACTTTTGAAAGCATAACCAATATTATTCTTGCTTTTATAATTCCAATTTGCATAAGCAAGTTTATAATCAGTTCAAAGCGGCATTGAACCCAGCTCACTCACGCATTATAAGCAGTTCAAATCACTACAGGTCAAACCTGCTGTTTCAGCGACCGCATGGCAGCTGGAACACCGACTTTTATGTGTTGGCCATTCTACCCCCTTTAGGATTTGTCCTGATGACTGTACTGCTTGTAGCTATGTACATCTGGAGAAGAAGATCGTAAGTAGTCCATGACATTTCCGTTTATTAACACACAGCAGTGTAGCAAGAGAGGTGTCAAGGACGATAGCCATTCTGAAGAACGTAACTTTCTAATCAAAACTATTCATGGCATGGGACAAAATACTGTCTCTTGAGACATATATCATGCACCGGCCATTTGAGCTGGATATTTGTTTAACATAAAGATTTGATCCAGGAATTAATCAACCTCAGGTGTTAGAAAAAGGAAATGATTGTCAACTGGAGATACTGGATGTCCTGAAACAAATTGTTCGGTTCCTCATTTCCGAGAAAAAATTGTATGTCTTAAAACAGTGACGAAAATAATATTCTGTTTCAAAATCCCATGCCCCCAACACCCATCACGAGGCACATGGCACTTGAAGAAATTTGTATCTTGCAGTAGAGCGCAATGGGGTCATAAATATATGTTTTCTATATAGCCGTGCTGTAGACACGTGTAACGTTAAACTTACAAATTAAACTTTGATATGTAAATGATTTATTACAACACACTAAGAAGAAATATAATTTTTAAAAACCCAATTTATTGTGTTATTTTCTTCTTATTGTTTTTTTCTATTTCAAGACACAATTCGGAACCATTCATACAGGACGATGAAATCTTATTATTTCAAATGGGTGTTCCATTCAACAGGAATTCGAACCCACACAGACGCGGTACAATTACAAGAAATCTTCAGGATGCAAGTGTTTCTCCAGATGGTTACACAAGTCTTCGCTTCCATGACGTACATAGAGGGACACTCGTCACACACTGTGATGACACATCAAACATCCAAGGAGCAACTGGAGATATGACTCTTGACCCGTGGAGCCAAGAGGGAGCAAGCGTTCCTCCAGATGAAAACGCACGTCATGATGACGCAGCAACACTCGATACACGCCGTCATGTTACATCATACATCCAACCAGTAACTGGAGATATGACCCTTGACCCGTGCCATCTACAGGGCGAGGAAGAGGATGAGTACACTGTCATCGATGACAACGATGTTGAGGACATCTCACAAGAAGACCCTCATGAAATGATAGAATCTTTCGATTACACCGATGTTGAAAACATCTCACAGGAACATCCTTATGAAAGATAATGTTTTAGTTGTCCTAGACGATGTATCGTCAACCAATAAGAATAACGAAAGGACATGAATGTATTCGACGCACTACCCTTTGAGTGTGTTCCCAGTACCAGAGTTGAAAAACCACACTGCATTTGATTTCATTCTCATATAATGTAATATTGATAATGTAAGATATGAAAAGCATCTCCGACATCAGACAGATGTAGGATTGGGATGCTAATAACACTGTCATCACAGCTATCAGAGTGGGGTAGGACTAGGATGCCAATTACACTGTCATCGCAGCTATCAGAGTGATATAGGCCTAGGACGCCAATAACACTGTCATCGCAGCTATATAAGTGATGTAGGACTAGGATGCCAATAACACTGTCATCGCAGCTATCAGAGTGATGTAGGACTAGGACGCCAATAACACTGTCATCGCAGCTATCAGAGTGATGTAGGACTAGGATGCCAATAACACTGTCATCGCAGCTATCAGAGTGATGTAGGACTAGGACGCCAATAACACTGTCATCGCAGCTATCAGTGATGTAGGACTAGGATGCCAATAACACTGTCATCGCAGCTATCAGAGTGATGTAGGACTAGGATGCCAATAACACTGTCATCGCAGCTATCAGAGTGATGTAGGACTAGGACGCCAATAACACTGTCATCGCAGCTATCAGAGTGATGTAGGACTAGGACGCCAATAACACTGTCATCGCAGCTATCAGTGATGTAGGACTAGGATGCCAATAACACTGTCATCGCAGCTATCAGAGTGATGTAGGACTAGGATGCCAATAACACTGTCATCGCAGCTATCAGAGTGATGTAGGACTGGGATGCCAATAACACTGTCATCACAGCTATCAGAGTGATGTAGGACTAGGACGCCAATAACACTGTCATCGCAGCTATCAGTGATGTAGGACTAGGATGCCAATAACACTGTCATCGCAGCTATCAGAGTGATGTAGGACTAGGACACCAATAACACTGTCAACTCTGTCATCAGAGTGATGTAGGACTGGGATGCCAATAACACTGTCATCGCAGCTATCAGAGTGCGCCAGATGCGGTTGATAGTTCACCGGTTAAAGTGTTGACTTGCACGTCGACTGAACGGGTTATAATCCCATGATGTGCGCATTTTGTGACCACCATATTTAGGATCTGTTTGCGTGTGATGTAATTGATGTGGGATACCAAAGAGCCAGGACTGTGTCATGTACCTGGGGGTGTGTGGTAGACTATTGTGAAAGTGTTAGCTCTTCACCCCAAATACCAGCATTCGATTTCCAGCATGGGTACAATGTGTTCATAGTTGGTGTCCCCCGACGTGATATGGAAGAACATTGCTTAAACTCGCACCGACCTTACATAGCTATAGCCATTTATATGTCAGATCTACTGGCAACATAGAGACTACTACACTCATTCTCGTCAGATGCCATTTTTACGAAACGAGTGAATTTTCTACGGTATCTGACCGAGCGAAAGCGAACTCAGATACCATAGCATGTTCACGAGAGAATGTTTTCGATAGATTTGTATCGGAACTGTTCACTTTTAGTGATCTGATCGTGCAGTCGTCACTGAGTTGTGTACGTTTATTTATGAACAAACACCTTCGGAAACAGTGCCACATAATACGCTTCGAACGGGACAATGATGGTACAGTACAATCGGAGGATCCAACGTAAGTCTAGATATCTGTCCAGATAGTTTAAACTGACTTCCTATCATCATGCATAACATTTTAGGTTAAATCAATTTTAACGTCGCGAAAGTGGTCGGGTGCGTCACGGTCATAGGGACCCTTGATGTATCGGTAGTCGTATATTGTAAATGGATGTGGCTCGATTAAATAATGTCTGTAGCAGCTCTACGCATACCTAATGTAGAATGCAAAGCGAATTTGATGCGGGTGACCATCTTGTTGGGTTTATTTAAGTGTTTGTAAATGTTTCGCTTTCATGTCATTCCTTCAGTTCTGCATCGATGTTGTAAAGCGTTTCTAAAAGTGAATGACGTCTCGTGTTTTTTATGAATGAAAAAAGTAGTTCTGGTGTGACATGTACAGAGGTCACGGTTATCCAATCAAAACGAATAAAACGAGGTCATTCTTGTATGACAAAAGTGTGACGTATGGATTTAGTATCATACCACCTGTATCTTCACCACGTGGGTATTGATTGCTTGTATTTACTGCTACAGATAGATATTTAGATTATAGTTTGTAAATAGAGATAAATAACATGATGTACACATTGTAATAGCTGAATGAAGGCTTGACTGAATTGTTTCAAGTTTGCAATAAAATAACTCTTTAAGCTTTTATTATTCACTGTTATTCACGAGACTTGCTTCACTCCACTTATGGACTTTTCTAGAAGGGTTAAGCATGAAACACGCGGTACATGCAGCAAATACCCTACAAAGAATAAATGGTCTTTTACACGCGCATTGTAAATTATTGAAGCGGATTATTATTTCCTTGAATTAAGGCAATATATTTGAAATGACAGTAGCTGCGTCATCGTTCTAGATAAATAAATCAGATTTCTGTAATATGAACGACATGGCGTAAATGAACGCCAAGACATTAAAATTGACAATTGAAAAAAAAGACGTCGCTCAACTATGTGTGGCTTGGTCATTCAGTTTAAGCTGGAACCGTTTCAAAAACGTCTTGAAAAACTGTGTACTTTAACTAATTGACTCAAGTATGTCTCATCATATACGAACATATATTTTATTTCCGCATTCATACCCCTTGGGGTGGATTCAAGTCTAATATATCATTGGATAGTTTTCATTGCTGACATTGATAAATGTAAAACAGCATTGGCAACTTCGCATTTTCACTCATTTCCGTGACATTACAGAAGAAAAACGAAAAACAACTGAAACTCGTTGTGATTCACTGGCTGTTACGATCTTTAGCTAAACTAGCAGGCTGTAAAATGTGTTTTCCCCCGACATGCATCCTGTACCTGTGACACACCAGTAAGAGATACCACTTGGACCATGAGTGAGTGAGTGAGTGAGTGAGTTGGGTTTAACATCGCTTTTTACAGTATTCTAGTTATGTCACGGCGTGTCAGCTTAATGTGGGAGGAAAGCCCGAAGTGATGCAGGTCTCAGACGTTTACCACTTCGGTGAAACCCACGAGCACGGGTATGGTGCTGACAAACCTAAAACATAATTGGGGCGAACCGGGATTCGAACCCACAATCATAGGTTTCTGGCGTCCTGGACCATGAAGACAAGGGGACGATGTCGATGTGTGTCCAATGACCACTTTAGTCAATAGACGAGATAGAAGACGTATTCTCCTCGGGGTAAAGTTACTTATATAACTTATAAGGCTAAGCCCTAGCAATGTTCTGCTTGAGTTCATATATATGTACTTTTTGTTAATCAAAACTTTCAAGTCGTCTTTCCATTCGAGTTTGTATTTAAGCAATGTAGTTATATTTGTGTCACGTAATTTAGACGTAAATTTAATGCATACGCTATTCACAAATGTGAAGCATTGCAATGACAAATATTTTGTTTGTTTGTTTGTTATTTAACTCCGCACTCAGCAATATTCCAGCTATATGACGGCGGTCTGTAAATAATCGAGTCTGGACCAGACAATCCAATAATTGACATCAAGAGCATCGACCTACGCAATTGGGATACAATGACATGCCTCAAACAAAGTCAGTGAACCTGACCACATGTTCCTGTTAGTCGCCTCTTACAAGCATGGGTTGCTGAAGGCCTATTCTAACCCGGATCTTCACGGGTACATTTTGAATAATGAACAATGAAATTCTGTATATGTTCAGAATAAGTAGATGGATAATATATCAGTACAGTCAGTTAAATGGGTTCGACTGCATATGGTTCAATGATGAGCTCTTTAAGGAGCCCATATTTTAATACATGTACTTGATATTCATGAGAACTCCACAAAAGTTGCACAATGGCGACAAAAACTGTACCAGCATCAGATACCAAGTATACATTTTTGAATGCGATGTTCTTTGCGATTTATCGCGAAGCTATTTTATTTCATCAAATATATGTCAATTTATCATTGCTTAGTCATGAGGTATACATGTCCAACCAATAGCATACGCACATATCGCTGTCATCGACGTACAATAGAGTCACGATATATGATTATCCTTCAGTGTGAACTATTTCAGGTAGATTAATCTGGTATATGCTTACTTGTAAGCATAGGGATTTTACAGCACTTTGTCAAGTCTCTGTAACAATTGCAAAATAATACACTTTTAATAATACAACTGAACTTAAATTTGTGGATGTTGTAATACCCTTAGGTTGCTGAGTGCGGCATTAAACAACACAAACAAACAAAATATAATATCCGTAAGAATTAAGAATTATGTTAACAATGCCAATGTTAAAAAATATTCACCACAATCTTCATACCTCTTTCCAGTGTTTAATATGAACATGAGCTCAGCCTTGCTAGTTATTTTATGATATTTATGCTAGTATCGTAGGCAGTCTGTCAGGGTATAGGTTTTAACAGGGAGTTTATATATGTCTTATATATTCCCTGAGTTCAGTAAGTTAAATATACCTGTCTAAATATCTACAGTGCTGCCCAATACAAATAATAACAGCAGCTGGGCTATTATTACCATGGCTTGTAGCGTACGCGTGTCAGCGGTTTGTAATTGATGCTAGAGAATGGTCGGTTGGCCACTGAAACCCAACTTTGTGGATGAGGTGCGGTGAGACCCGTTCGGCGTAACATCCTGACGCCGCATCACCTCCGTAAACAGTGGTGTCGTCAGAGAGTCACATGGACTCAAGCAAGATGGAGACGTGTTCTGTTCAGAGACGAGTGCCCGTGTGTACCGACGTCGTAACGAACGTTACGCCGTGTGATGGTGTAGGGAGGCATTCATCACGGAGGCCGGACAGCACTTGTGAGAGTGGATCGTGCTCTGAATGGTCTATGCTACCGAGACGAGATCCTGCAGCGCCACGTTGTCCCCTTCATCAACGTCAATGGCGGCATCTTTCAGCAGGACAACGCCAGACCCCACGTCGCACGTGTTTGCACAGTTTCTGCGTCAGAACAACGAGCCTACGCTAATTTACCTATACATTCCCCTATTTATAATATTTATGAAATCTAAACTCGAAAAATAAACCCAGTTGCAATCCTAACAGTTGGCAATAGTTTCTTTTTTGAAGAGTATATAAACTAAATTGTCCGTTGTTCAGTTATGGCCTGATGATACTCATACGTGGTACGAGTTGAACGCGCTAGCCAATTAAAACTAATGCATTCAGTGAATCAAAGCCACAAGACAGGTATATATATAAAAACACAACATGTATGTATATACACGCAAACCCTGCATATACACAAATGTGTCATTTATAAATAGTACTTTCCTCAACTACAGGTGAGATGAGTTGAAATGGGGTTTAACGTCGCGTCCAAGATTATTGCACTTATAGAGCGACGTGCATGCACGTGTGTGTGACTGCTTGTACTAGTCCGGACTAATGCGACTTTATTGTGCTAGCTCACTGAGATACCATGCCGCAGTTTAACATGAATACCCCACTCAGACACAGTATACTGACTTGTTTTAGCCCTTAATGTAGAGCGCCAGGCAGGGTAACAACAAGTATCGTCTTTTGTCATGACGCAGCCGGGTATCGAAGCCCGAACCTTCCACTCTCCTGGATGGGTTGGGGTGAAATGGGGTTTAACGTCGCGTCCAAGATAATTGCACTTATATAGCGACGTGTATCTACGTGTGTGTGTTTGTGTGGCTGCTTGTACTAGTCCGGACTGATGCCGATTTATAGTGCTAGCTCTCTGAGACACCATGCCGCAGTTTAACATGAATACCCCACTCAGACACAGTATACTGACTCCGAGCCGACCAGTCCTTGTTTTATCCCCTTAATGCCGAGCGCCAGACAGGGTAACAACAACTACTATCTTTTGACGTCTTTTGGTATGACGCGGCCGGGGATCGAACTCCGGACCTTTTGCTCTCCGGGCGGACGCTCTACCACTAGACAACGGAGGCGGTCTTCTGACCCCAGCGACCTGGCAACAAAGATGCCAGACATTGTTGACCTTTTCCATCATGGTGATCCTGAATCTTACCTTTACTGAAGACATATTTGTTTTATTTTTTGCTTGCAATCTTCTCGTAGGGGTACCAAAATTGTTTTAAACCTCTCAAACCTGGAGACGGATACACAGAAAGGTCATTTGAGTCAGGAAGATAACTTGGACCCGAAATAATATTCGGCGTCCAGGTTCACACCCGAGATCATTTGGGAGAGAGGATTGTGCAAGCTCTGTAATGAGTGTTCGCTCTCTCCACGGACTCTTGTGCATTATTGAAAGGCCAACCGAAATTGCAGTTTCCTGATGTATCGCTATCTAAACACACGATCGAAATCATGCTTCCTGATGACAGCAGCTGAAATCACCCCTGCCTTTGTACAGTAACTTATGTGTCATCAGGGTACCAACCCCCCTTAGGTACACTTGATGTCGCAGTGCCGTAAGCACGAAATGTTTACCTGGTACGCGGATGCCGGTATGTCCATGTTGAAATTATATTTTCGTAATATTGTTAATGATGCAAAGAGTGACATAAATATATAAAATATATAGCCCTTAGCTAATAAGCTCGCATGGTCATGCATTCTATATGAAAATCTGATTGACTAGTACCAGCTGTGTACATTGATAACACTGAAAGAGTTCTTAAATTGGATGCCAAGGCAAATTAAGTTGTATGCCGTATGCCTAGATGTGGTGGGTTGGCACCCTCTATCATTTGGAACACCTGCAACTCATTCCTTCACATGACCATGAATACTAAGACCATTACAATGAGAAATGGCACGTCTCAACCGGAACTGAAACATTAAACTCATTATGGAAGTTGGCTGGACACAATTGGAGCTAAAACATTTTACACCAAATAGATCATTATAATAGGAAGTGGTGCTTCTAAGCTGGAACTGAAACAAAAGGGAGTAATTAATTATTAGACCCGGTGCGTCACAACGAGATCTGAAACAGTAAAAGACTAACTCCACATGGAAATGGCGCGTCTCACCTGGAGCTTAAACGTTACACACTTACTGATTTTACCAGAAAGTGGCGCGTCTCAAGGGAATCTCAAAAATTAAAAGACCAACTCCTTATAGAAGCGGTTTGTCTCAACGGGATCTGAAACATATAAAGACAAGCTCCTTATAGAAGTGGCGT